CATTTTTGCAAGGACACGTATATCAGTTGGGATAGATGTAGTGTAATACTAAGAATAAAATTATTATATTCTCAAATTTTCGGGAAAATGAATTGGGTCGTTTTGAATATTGATTTGTAATAATCAATAAAATAACGAAACAATTTACTCACGTATACGTATCAGAGGCAACTGAAAATCGTGTATGTATAAACATTCTTAATTTAAGATGACAGGCGTAACACCATACGTGAGAGTCAAACAGAGAAACTGTAAACAAAACGACCATCGGTTTTATTGCTTCGACTTCCGCTTATTATATAAAACATTGGATTTTATTTTAATTCTTGACGGTGAAATTCACAATTGGTTGATTATAAACATGTCTATTTCACATTCGCGGAACCAAGTGAGCGCATAAAACAAATGCAGGTCTGTAATGTTATAGTCGATGTAAATAAGCGTGCTACCCTTATGTTTCAACCGAGTTTTTCCTTTAACAAATTTTGTGTCTACCAAATTGGGTTGGTTGGGGTGTAATACTAATAATAAGTGTTGCCTTTAATTTAATCAATAAAATAAATTGACTTCATTAATTTTTTTGAAGCACCTCTTAAGAAAATCTAAAAAATATGAATGGAATGATAAATCACAAGTACAAACTCATCATATTTTTTGCATTTTAGATAGGATTTATTCAGCAAAATTTAAGGGTGACGTCATCAATTTTTTTAGGAGGGATGAACAAATACATTTTGAACAAAAGTTTACCATGCTTATAATAACTTTAAAATATTCCCAAGATTTCAAAGCATTCGGTTTTGTAATTCCTGATTAAATCGATAAAATAAAATAAATTCACGCCTTCATTAATTTTTTTGAGTCACCCTGCATATGCAAATCCAAAAATATGATTGGAATGATAAATCACAAGTACAGACTCATCATATTTTGTACATTTTAGATACGATTTATTCGGCAAACTTTTGAGCTGACGTCATCAAGTTTTTGTAGGGGATAAGCAAATATATTTTGACTAAACATTTATTATGCTCTTTATGACCTTAAAACATCTGCAAGATTTCAGAGCATTCGGTTTTGTAGTTCCTGATTAAATCAATAAAATATATTTACGCATTCATTAATTTTTTTGAGTCTCCCTGTATATGCAAATCGAAAAAATATGAATGGAGTGATAGATCACAAGTACAGACTCATCATATTTTGTACATTTTAGATATGATTTATTCCACAAACTTTTGAGCTGACGTCATCAAGTTTTTGGAGGGGATAAGCAAAGATTTTTTGACTAAAGATTTATGATGCTCTTTATAGTCTTAAAACATCTGCAACATTTCAAAGCATTCTGGTTAGCAGATTAAAAATTAAATTTCAAAATGTTGTTTTATAATTTTGATTTTTTTTCCAAAAATCTGGACGTTTCGGGTGAAAAGTCGATTCAGAGTTGTAAACTACATGTGTAGGACTATGTTATTTTATACAATTGAAAACCCATTTACTATGTACAATTTTGAAGTGACGTCATCGCATTAGTGGTGGGGATGATTAGACAAATTTTGGTTAGCGTTTTACCATCTACATGATATTCTTAATATAAGTACAAAATTTCACAACAATCAGTCGAGTACTTTCGGAGATTATCTGTCTAATAAAAACCCGGGACAACAGACGGACAGACGGACGGACAGACGGACGGACAGACAGACGGAAATGGGAGACCTATTTCTTCGTCTTCTAGGGGTCATGAAAGATCGAGAAAACGTAAAAGTAGAGAGTCGGCCGACGGACTCGATTACAATACTTCCTTTGCTTACGCTCGGGAAGTAAAAAAATTATGAATCGAAAATTTGAAAAATTGAGAAATTGAAAAATCGATAGTTGAAAAAACGAGAAACGGATATAATTGGAAAATTGAAACATCCAGAAATCAAAACATGAGAAAATCGAAAAATCCGGAAACGGAAATAAAAATAAAAATTAAAACTTGAAAAATTTTAAATTAATAAAAATCGTTAAATTAAAAAATTGAAAAACTGAAAAATCGGAAACCTGAAAAACAGAAATATTGAAAAATAAGTAAATTGAGAAATCTATAGTTGAAAAATCTAATTTTCGAAAAATTGAAAAATCGAGAAACGGAAATAGCACAAACGAAAACTTAAAAAAACAAAAAAATTGAAAAATCGAGAAATCTAGAAAATTTAAAAATTCGAAAAATTGAAAAACTGAGCATTGACAACTTGAAGAAATAAGTTTGAAGAAATTAAAAAACCGAAAATTTAAAAAGCAAAAAACTGAAAAATCGAAAAATTGAAAATTCCAGAAGAACTGGAAAAATCAAAAAATCGAAAAGTCGAAAGATTAGAAATCTAAAAGTTGAGAGTCAAAAAATCGATTAATCGAGAAATAGAGAATTCGAAAAATCGACAAATACGAAACCAAGAAACGCAAAAATAAAAAATTTAAAAAATGGAAAAACCGAAAAATCGAAAAACCAAGAAATTGAAAAATCGAACGAAGAAACATCAAGAAATCGAAACATGAAAAAACGAGAAACCAAGAAATCAGAAAAGCCCAAACGAAAAATTTAACATCGAAAAATAAAAAATCTAAAGAAACCGGGAAATCGAAAAATTGGAAAACTGAGAAATCGAAACATCAAAAAATCGGAAACTGAAACATGAATTTGAAAATTTTAAACTTGTAGCTGAAACTGCCAAAATTTAAAAAGCTTTGAGTGATTTTCATAATTTTGTATCTTAAAATGTGTATTTCTCGATGTTTTAGTTTTTTAGATTTTTGATTTTTCAATTTTCCGAATATTTTAATTTTAGATTTTTCACTTTTTTATATTTGAATTTCTCGATCATCGATTTCAGTTTTTCAATTTTTCGATTTTAAAATGTTTGATTTCTAGGTTTTTTCACGTTTCGATTTCTCGATGTTTCAGTTTTTTAATTATTCAAGTTTTCGATTTCTCGATTTTCGGTTTTTCGATATTTAAATTTTTGTATTTTCCAATGTTTCAATTTTTCGGTTTCTCGACAATTCAGTTTTGGAATTTTTCAATTTATCAATTTTTCGATTTTTTAATTTCAATTATTGACATAAAGTTGGGGTACTCAGAATTAAAAAAAGTAGAATCAAGGTTTTGAAATAAATTGTGTTTTTTTACTTTCGAATATCTACACCACAAAATTAAACAAATTGATCAGATTAACTAAATTTTAAAATACCGCAATACCCCAAATGAGCTATTGTTTACGCATAAAACAAAACGAGATTCATATCGCATTAAATAATTACATTCCTAATAAAATCTTTCATTTTAAAATGTACGACCATTTTATTTGGTGTTGTTTCAGTGATGACTTCCATATGGGCAAAACTAATCTTGCTTTACCATGCACTCCCAACGCAAGCTTTCGTAAGTACCACGACCACAAATCTTTTTTCCAACCATTTTCATCTTATGTGTTATAGTTGAACACCAAATATACCATCGACATGGAAACCGCCTACTTGTGTCCGGAAAACGACCAGCTGGAAGTGCCCATCTCGTTCATCCACATTAATCGCATCAACCGCACCCACAAGGCTCTCTCCATAGATTATACCTTGAATCGTCCCATAGATGACAAAATCGAAGCCACTCTGCTTGTAGAAAAGTTGGAAAACTCAGGCTGGCTCAAAGTACCTTCGGTACCATGGCAAAAGAATCCGTGCGAATACGGGAGGAGAATCGACAAAGAAGGATCGATCAGGTTTCTTAAAACTCTGGGTTTGGTACCAGCGGACGCTTGTCCCATTCCTGGGGGAAATTATTCCGTGAAAAACTACGTTTTGGAGTTGCCGCATTCTACTCCCTTTTGGGCCGGACGATTTCGGTGTAAGTTTGTAATGAGGATCATCAACACAAAGAAGAATATTTATTGTGTGATGTTTATAATTAATATTGTTGAAAAGGTAGATTAAGGGTTTGAATGTGAGTTTTAATAATCAAGAATGAAAAAAAATGATTTTGCAATGTATCAAATATTTCGAATATTTTCCTTTTTTTTTCAATTTGAAAAATTGATAAAATGAAAAATCCAGGGGCGAGGGAATAACCTTCGACCAATTTTTTGTTCCACTTTTAACAATGGATGTATTTAGTAGTCATTACAATCAGATTACAATGAAATATTTAAAAATCATTTAACCGATTTACATGGACACGATAAGATCAAAATTTTGGGACTCCAATTGCAAGCTAATTTCAATTTGTTGAGTGTCTCAATCGAAGCACCATGAAAAAACTACTAACATTTCTGAAATTAGTGATACTCGTGCAGCAATCTTTCTCAGCTTTTGTAAGTTAAATTACCGATAATTGTCCTAGTATTTACCTATTCTAATTTTCAACAGATGAAAAACAAGTACGTGGCCGAAGTCGAGGCCTTCCAAACTTGTCCGGACCACCCGAAACCTGTTAACCCCATAACAAACATAAAATTTGTGGCACACAACCGAACCCACAAGACTTTGGGCTACGACATTACTTACAATCGAGCTTTGGACGAAAAAGTGGGCGGAGCCGTTACCGTGGAAAGGTGGGGGGATGGGGGATGGATCTCTATTCCGTTTATAGGTTTTCAGAAAAACATTTGCAAGTACATGTCGAGACATTTGAAGTCGTTTTGGGTGGAATATTATGAGCACATGGGAGTGGAACATCCCGAAAGATGCCCAATACCTAAAGTAACTTGATTTGTAATCAACTGACTAACGGTTTCATTTCGTTTTTTTTTTTTTAGGGAAACTACTCTTTGAGGAACTACATTTTTAGTGCAACTGAGATGAATTTGCCTTTTTGGAGCGGGAGATTTAAATTTACAACTAAGTATGAAGACGTGGACACAAAAGAGGTGATTTTTTGTTGTGTGCAGACTGTAAAAGTAACCGAGATTTACTAGAGTTCTTTAATAAAGGTTTTCTTGAATGAATAGAAATGTTTATTATTAAATTGTCCACGATTCGTATATGGCGGTCCAGGAAGCCACTGTTGTCCATGAAGGAAATTGTGCGATGAAATCTCTGAAGCGTTTCGAAGTCTTCCTGGGCTGGGACATGAACTGGGAACAAAGGGCGAGGTCCATGATTGAACCCGAATGACCCGATGGAACCTACCATGAGAAAGTTTTGCAACAAGTATTACATTTTAGACAAACCTGGAAATCCATGGTGAATTTAAAGGGAGTGGGTTTTAATCCATACCCATAAAAAATGAAGTGGGTGTTTCTTCCATTCCACAGGGGTCCTTGTAACGGTTTGCCACTTCCTAGAGTCCACCTAGTCAATTCTGCGCCCAAAACGGGAGAAATTATAATATTTGTCGTCGTCGGAGCATCAATTTCCACCAGAAATTTAATTTTATCGCTGGTAGTTTCTTTTTTGAGTATTTTGAATGTGGATTTAGGAAGTGGCTCTGGTTCAGGACCCGGTATCCAATGCGTTTTCCACAGTATACTCAAACCAGGAGCGAAATATGGCATTCCACAGTACAAATAATGTATACAATCTCGATCTACCGGTTGGACCCGTGCCACCTCAGGAACATATTTTTTGACAGAATGAGGGCTATTCATGTCAAGAGTGAGTGTCCAATAGCCCGTTTTTGTAACTACTGCTCCAGTAGCGTCGTGGAAAATTCTCTTAGTGTGCTACAAATAACTGTGTGGTAACTAAATTCTTACAAGAATTGTATTTACCACAATCATGAACCGCTGTGGTGCCAAAGATGTAAGTTCGCCAGAGTATGGAAAACCCAGAGGTGTAAACACCAATATGGCAATAAACACACAGAAGATGGTCACGAACAAGCGAAAAATTTTTCCAACTTTGTGTGTGAGCAAAATTAGTGGAACGACGAAACCGGAGAGAAATACGGTTAGTAAAGAGACTGTGAAAGCAATGACAATTTCGGAATTAATTCCAGTCCCCATTCTTCCCGCTGCAGGAATAAGTAGGTTCAAGAGGGTTACAATCATGTCACTCCAGTGGGTGAAAGGTAAAGCATTTATTGCCACGTGTAGGAACAACCATTTTGGCCCTAGAATTTCCATCTTTACCTATGTTTGTTAAATTAAAGAATTGTTGAAGGTTATTTCGACAGAACTTCCCTCGCGTTTGAAGTGAAAAATTAAACAGTTTTTACAAAGTTAAATTGTAAAATGTTATACAATTTTAATATTTTCCAAAAATCTGGAAGCCTGGGTTGAAAACTCGACTCAAAGCAGACAGATACAGATAGACAGATGGAAACGGGAGACTTTAGCTTACGCTCGAGTAGTAAAAAGTTAACCTTTCCAGTTTCCGAATTTTGTTTCTAGAAAGTTTTCAACTGAGGCGAAAAAACCCCAAATCAGTATAATAAAACTAGACCGGGTTCTTATCAGTAGGCCAAAGATCAGCATTATGGTCCAGATTAAGTGATAAGCGTCGCGGTATAAACGAAATATGGTCCATGGAGACGTGGCAAAGTTCTGAAATAAATGTTCAGTTAAATAGAAGACGAAAGAGTGATTAAGTACTTTGAGATAGCGTTTGGAGTGTAAATGGAGCACTACCATCGAGGCCAAAACTGTTGGAACTACGTAAAGAACGAAAAGCCACCATGGACGTGCAAACCAGCTCATGGTTTTGCCCAGGATGGTTAACCAAAGTGCTATTAAAACAACCAACGTTATGGAAATGATCCAAGACGCGGCAATTCCAAGCGTGCAACTTAATAGATTTTTATAGCACTTCTTGGTGGTCAAATCTGGAAGAAAAACCGAACTACAATGGTACAAAGAGAATGGAGAGTTAAAACTCACGATTTGTTTGTACATTTTTGTTGACCAAGAACAGTGAAACCGCTATTGTCACCAAATTGACCAAATCCGACACACCCATGGTGTATTGTACCATAAAAACCCCCAACATGTCAAAAAACACCACTTTGCTCCCATCGCTTCGATCTTCACCCAACTCCGGCCTACTGATAACCGCTTTAACCAAACCCACAATGTTATCTCCTGTCCTCTGCAGCGACCCCATTGGGACTTGCTCGATGGTATCCAGCTTCGTGTGGTACACGTACCCGTTTGTCGTCCACGCAAAATCCAACCCTGAAGCGTTCCCAAAATCCCTAAAAATCCTGTAATCCGTGTCCCCCACAAACAGTTTGCTTTCAAAGAATTCCTGAGATAGAGAAGACCCATATGGATGTGCTACTGCTTTAGAGTACGTTTTGAGTAACCAGGAGTTTCTGGGATCGCCCTGGAAGAGTAATTCTCTGCCGCCGGCACCACAAGCTTCCAGATTAACAAAAGCACGAACTTCTTTCGCCCATCTGTGTTGAGTGATGAAACCGTGGCTCGCTTGCATGAAATTTTCTTCGGCGCCGTTGAAGAGGAAGATGATGTTGTGGGGGAAGGGTTTGGGGGATCTTGACAGGACTCGGAGGGTTTCTAGGGTGACGGCACAACCAGCCCCGTCGTCGCTGGCACCTGATATTTGTTTTATGGGTGAATTGCAAAATATGGTAATGTATTCTTACGACCAAGATAACGTATCAACTCACCGGGACTATCAACAGCTGAATCGAAGTGACAGTTTACAAGTAAGCTATGTCTGGACTTAACTCCTGATGCAATCCTAACGACAACATTTTGTACATTCCGGTATACACTGGCCATCCCATCCAGAAAATCCATATCAAAATCGCCACTAACCCTCTGAACATCTAGTTCAATAGAGTGGATTTTGTTTGAACCTTTGATGATTTCTTTCACTTCGCGTGTGAGTAGTCCAACTGCAACTACTTCATTCTCGTAGCTACCTGCAAGTCGAGGGCCTATTTTTGTAAGTTTTTTCAAAAAATTGTAGGCTCGCTCTGAAATAAACCGGTCACGGTTTTCGCGTTCGTCGGCGACCATTAAGGGTTTTGGGAGCCGCTTTTGTACGACGATTACAACCACGAAAGCTAGCACACACAAACAGAAAAGTGCTAGAAAATGACGCGGATGAAACGGTTTTAGTTGGTGTTTTTCGTCCCTTGTTTCTTCCGCCAGAGGGTGAGTAGCTTCAATGTCTTTGAAACGTTTTCGAAGCAACGTTGACTCCTATAACACAAAGATGTTAAAGTGTCGAGGTTTAATTAATTTTTTACTTTCCTTATTCATTGTGGTTGGTTTCTAGTTTTCGCCACGACTGTTTTCGTTTTAACTTATTTGGTTAATTTATGAGCTACGAAGCGCCGAATTAACAATGCAAATGCAAGTAGGACATTAAACGGTCGTAACTGACGTCAAAAATTTGAATTTGGGGGGTTTTCCTGGATTGACTACACCCACATCATCAGTTTTTTGACTAGAATTCGTTATTTAGAGTAATAATTTCAGGGAATTTTTGTCCACTGTTAAAAAAACGATTCATTGGTGTCAGAAAATGTTTAATAAAAATTAACTTGGTTAGCATCAGAACATCTCTGTTATTTTTATGACGTAAATAATACACACAATGTTTTCTTTGGTGTCGACATCCTGAAACGTGGACGTGAACCTAAACCGCCCACTAAAAAACGGGATGTTAATCCCAGTGCTATCCATGGAATAGTTCTTCAGCGAATACTTTCCCGGTGGAATTGGGCAACGATCAGGATGAGCAACCCCGACGTTCTCATAAAACGGTACCCAAACACTCCTCAAAAATCGCAACATGTATCTACAAATGTAGGGCTGAAATCCCAAAAACGGTATATTAATCCACCCGCCATCCCCCCATCTGTCGGCACTAACAGCTCCGCCCACTTTTTCGTCCAAAGGTCTGAGATACGTAAAATCGTAGCTCAAGGCTTTCTGGGTGCGATTATAACGCGACAGTTTTAAATTGGTTATTGGAGTTTCCATCTGGAAGTTATTGGGGCACGTTTGGATCGTTTCTATTTCGGCTACATATTTGTTTTTCATCTGGAAAGAAAATTGAAAATTTCAATGTAACGAACGACTGTTTTTGAAATAAATACAAAAGCTGCAAAGCTGGAAATTAGCACACAAGTGACCAGGATGATTATTGTCGTTAACATGGTGATTTCCACTGGATAATGTTGAGTTGGGTTTTGTGTTTTTATGATTTTTATCTCGTCGGGCGAAATGAGGATATAATTACGCGTTTTAGTGTAATCAGGTGTGTCGTAGTTGAATTACCAGATGAATGAAACATGAAATTGGTCACATGTTGCGCGCCAGCCACATCTGAGTTGCCACGTGTTCGTAGTGACGCACGTCTTCGTCGCCATTGGTTCCGGACGCTCAAAATTAAAACGAGTCACGCTGTGTTTGAAAATGGGACCCAGACTAATATTTAGTATTATCGTACTAATTGAAAAGCGTAACTCATTTTTTAGTTGAATGATAAACGTAAAAACCGACGTTGGTGTCGGAAATGCGGTGCTAGGGAATTTCGTTTTTCGGGCGGCGCGGTTGTCCCCGTCACTCCTGCCGAACGTAATATGGCCGTCAAAAGTAGCAGATCTGCTATATCATCGAGACAAATAATTTAGCCAAAAATAACGTAAAGTGTTTACAACGAGTCGGTGATACATCATTAGTTAGTTTATTCGGACCACTCGTTTTACCAAAATACGTCCACAATGAAGATAACAGTGCGAAATCTCTACCAAAAAAACTTCATCATCCACATAGACCCATCCAAAACGGTAACGCATTTTTTCGCCTCAGAATTGTCACAATTAGCACGAATTCCTTGCAGGTGAAAGACCTAAAGCAGCAAATCGAGGCCGAGAAGGGCAAGGAGTATCGTTGGGACTACCAGAAACTAATTTATAGGGGTAAGGATACGGGTGGTGTTATGCATGTGGTCATGGGTTTGTTTTAGGTAAAATTTTAAAAGATGAGACACCATTGTTGGAATACAATATTGACGAAGACAAATTCATTGTTATTATGGTTTCGAAGCCTGAAGCGGGCAGCGAAGTCGCCAATAGCGGCGACAACTCCTCAACTGCCACCACTCAGCCTAGGTTAGTTTTTCAAATCGAAACAAGTTATCACGATTTTGATAAAAAGGCACCCGTAAGCTGTAGAAGGATCAGTTAACAGTAGTTTATTTTTTGCCTCTGCTTTCCTAAGGAAAAGTACAACTGAATCATAATCATAAATTATTTCTGTTTACATGAAAGTAAGTTTGTTAAATAAAATGCGCAATCTCGTTAACGGAACAATTCAAATTTACAAATTAATTCTTAGAATGCAAGGAATAAGTCAATAAAGAAATTCATTTTTCTGGAATGTGGATCTTGACACGATTAATAATACTGTTGTTGCCAACAATTCAGTATGTATGAAAATAAGGTTTGGAACACCAAATGAACAGTTTTTTTGAAAGATTTATTTAAAATCACGGTATAAATAAATAATTAAAATGCATTTATTCATTCCTTATTGAAGGTAGAGGTCATTTCAAACATTAGTAAATATTTCATGGTTTTGCTTTTTAAAAATGCCTCCAAAGTGTTTCTAAAACAAAAATGGTCAAAGGTTATTTCGACAGACCTTCCCCCGCTCCTTTGAAAAATTATAAAAAAAAATTGCGATTTTTGTGTAAAAACCGTTTTTCAATTTTCCAACTTTTCTTAAGTTTTCAATTTTTAGATTTTGCAGTTTTTCGTTTCGGTTTATTTTCTTTATTTTTACACTTTTTTGATTTTTCAATGTTTCGATTCTATTTATAAAATCTTGCTTTTTCAATTTTTCGATTTCTCATTTCTTTTTTCTTCAGTTTTTGATGTAAATATGTATAATTCATAATTTTTAAAAATTTTCAATTTTACGATTTTGGAATTTTCCCATTTTTTAGATATGGGATTTTAAAACTCCATTTATTCGATTTTTCAATACAATTTTTGGGTTTTCCAATTTTTCGGTTTGATTCGTTTTCTCTTCTTTCCAATGTTTCGATTTTTCGCTTCTTGAGTGCTTTGATTTGCAATTTTTCGAATCAAAAAAATGCAAGAATTGCAAAATTGTAAAATAAAAAATGAAAAAACGAAGAAGTATGACATGAAAACTTTGAAAAATCTAAAAATTAGAAATCAAGAACTTGAAAGTTTGAAGAAATCAGAAAATCTGATAATAGGAAATCCAAAAATTGCAAAAGTGAAATATTTAAATTTGAGAAATTGAAAATTGAAGAACCGAAAAATTGTAAAATTTGAAAGTTCAGAAATCAAAAAAATTAAAGTTGAAAAAACGAAAAATTATGAAACCGAAACAATGAAAAACGAAAAATTGTGATATCAAAAAATTGGTCGAAGGTAAATAATTCCAGTTGTAATAAAAGTATTGTTTTCTCAAATTGCTTCATTCATTCATTTTTTGAGTCACCCTGTGTAAGTAATTCTAAAAACTAAGAGTGCATTGATCAACCACCAGTATATAGTCACAATATTTTGAATATTTCAGAGAGGATTTATTAGGCAAATGACGTCATCAATTTTTTGGGAGGTGATAAACGAATAAATTTTGATTTACCACGATTACGATAACTTTAAAACGTTTGCAGTTTCAAAGTTAAATTATACAATTTTGATTTTTTTTCTCCAAAAACCTGAACCCCTTTGAAGTGTTGGTAGAAAACTCACATGAAGTTAGGAGTTACAGAACCTGAATTCATTCATCTTAATTATTTAAAAAAAACCGTAAGATTAATATGTCATAATTGTCACACATTCCCTGTCATGTATTTTACATTTCGAAATGTCTAGTTGAAATGTTGACTTTTTGTAAATTTTGACTTTGTCAGTTTTCGGATTTGTGATTTTGTAATAAAAAACCCTAAGCTCGCCCTTCGCGAGATTAATTTTGGTTGTTTTTGCAGCGCAGCGCCCGCTCCGACGCCGGCATCGGCGCCCGCTGCGGCCCCCGCTCCCGCCCCCGCTGCCGCCCCTGTGCAGCCCGCCCAGCCGACCGCCAACTTGAGCAGATCGGCCGAGTCGACTCTGCTCATGGGCGAAGACTATGAGAACATGGTACAAAACATAGTGGACATGGGCTACCCGCGGGATCAGGTGGAACAGGCTCTGAGAGCCAGCTACAACAACCCCGACAGGGCCGTGGAGTACCTCATCAACGGCATCCCGGCCATGACCGAAGACCAGGAGGCAGCTCCCAGCATGTCGGGCATCGACGAGAGGCAGTCGGACGCCAACGACCCTCTAGCATTCCTAAGGAGTCAGCCGCAGTTTCAGCAGATGAAACAAGTGGTCCAACAAAATCCTCAACTCTTAAACGCCGTGTTGCAGCAGCTGGGGCAGACCAACCCGGCTCTGCTCAACTTGATTTCCCAGAATCAGGAATCCTTTGTTAGACTGTTGAACGAACCTTCCAGCGGCGCCCCGGCGGCGGCGGCTCCGGGAAATGCACCCGCAGGTACATTTAAGTGTCAAAGTTTTCACTTTTCTGGAAAAACTTAGAAGTCATGGAATTCAAAACAAAGTTAAAAGAATCTGGGTTTTTGTGATGTTAACTTTACTCCTTTTGTGTTTTAGCTCCTCTGGCGGCTCAAGGAGGCGGCGGTGGTGGCGGCGGCGGTGGCGGCGGCGGCGGCGCGCCCCCTCAGGCGGCCATCCAGTTCACGCCCCAGGACAAAGACGCCATCGAAAGATTAAAGGCTTTGGGTTTCCCAGAACATTTAGTGGTGCAGGCTTACTTCGCATGCGAGAAGAACGAAAATTTGGCGGCCAACTTTCTGTTGTCTCAGAATTTCGACGACTAATAACACGCTCGGTTTTCTTTTAATTTTACTTTCAAGTTATGTTTATTTTCTGCCTAATCATTTTGTGAATTTTTTTTAAATTGTACTTTCTAAATAAACCATGCGTTTATTGTACGTATTTCGCTTGTAAATAGGCTGTTTATTAATGTTGTTCTGAATTGATAGCTCATTTGATAATTCTTGGTTATTGTAATATATCGGCAGTAATGGAGTGACTTTATTTATTTCGATTCAAATTTTTACAAGCTTGTCTTATTGTAAAATTATTGAATAGCATAATGGTAATAAAAACGTGCAATGTTCTCTGGTTTTTGTGCTGGAAAAAAAACGTGCGCGTGTGGGTCCATTACCCGTGTGTGGCCGCTTTAGCTTCGAGTCACCTGTGCTGTCTTGCCACGTTTTCGCCGACTTTGACGTTTGTGTTGTCATAGCACGTTGGATACTAATTCAAACCCCCGAAATCGATGAACCCCGACGGTGCAAGTCCGCGGCAGCCGCAAAACACCCCCGATTGATTACATTCCCAAATTTCCCGATGAATTTTTTATGTCGGAGACGTGGCAACCCTGCTCAAACGTGCGCGTCCGCTCGTGTTTACGGCGCCAGTGCGCATGCGTGGAGAGCGGAGTGTTGTGGTCGGGTCGTGTTTGTGATTTTCCTCAAAAAAGTGCGAAATAATGTCGAAAATCAATGAAACTTGCACGAAGTACCAACGCTTCGAGTATTTTTGAGCTGTTCGGACTTGCGTAGCGCGAAAATACGGCTTTCGGACGATCCTCGGCGTTTTTTCTGCATACGTGCACTTTAGTGTGTCAATGATGGCGGCTTGACAACCTCTCACACCGTCAACAAATAACACAAATCTGCATGAAAATTATGGATTTTGGTCAAATTCGTGTTCGTTGAGTGTTTTTTGGTGAAATTCGAGTGCGAAACTAGCGATAATGGCGACGGACACCAACCAGAGATGTCCCAAGTAAGTTGGATCGCGGAATGTCTGCAAAACCGGTCCCATTTTCGCGATTTTTGCAGGATTATGGTGTTTCGGCCCACCTGGGACGAATTCAAGGACTTCACGCAGTACGTCCAGCACATGGAGTCCAAGGGGGCGCACAAAGCGGGACTGGCAAAGGTAACTTGACTTTTTTCACGGACCTAACCTAGCAGTAATGGGCGATTGCCGCACGAAAGTGACTAATCGGCTCCAATTTCAAAAAATTAAAAAAAAAAGCTAAATGATACAATTTGTTTAGGCATCATGAAGACTCAGTTTGTTCTTTTCTTTACGTAAAAGTGGCCGCTCAGAAGTTGAGGTTTCATACTTTCAAATATAAAAAAAAATTAAAGTTCCTCCTTTGCCAGGAGTTTTTCACAAATTTAATTTTTATCCAAAAATGTAAAAAAAAGCAAATAAAATTTGTTGAAAAATCAACAAATATTTTCAGAAAAGATGGCGATGGAAAAGTGAAAATGTCATTAGCAGGGCTTACTTAATGAAAAGTCACTGTTAACATGACCTACCCATTCAAAAAAAGGTTCAAAAATCCCTACCAGACGGTTGGTTCTAGGGACATTTGTGCCCGCGGATTTCAAAATTTGTCCTTGTCAGTTTTGTAGATTTTTCTTTTTTCTAGGAAATAATGATATTAATGTAACCACTACAAACAATTTAATTAACCAAAAAAAATGTGATAAAGATTTATTGTAAAATAAACATCATGAAATATTCTAAAAGCCCCTGTTATATCAAGTATTAAAATAAAATTGATTTAAACAATTGCGTTTTTATTAAAATCAAAATAAACCATAAATTAATTCAAACTACGTCCAACGACTTTAACATGAGTATTAGTAGACAATTAGAGATACAGTCCTTGGCAGAGTTTTTAACAAAAACGAACAATTATTGAAAAAAATGGGTTTGAAGTTTAAAGTGGTTATTAGCGTTCTCAGCTGATTTTTCTATTTTATACAAGGCGAGAGAGAAAAATCTTAAGTATTTTTTTTTTTGTAATTAAAATATAAGAGTAATATTGTTAGTATTTATACCGTCACGTGCTTCAATATTAAAATTTATTAACATTTTTGACATCATCTGATTTTTTTTAATGTTTGTAGGTCCGATTTTAATTATGTTACACTTCAGGTGATCCCGCCCCCCGAATGGGTGCCCCGCAAGTCCGGCTACGACATCGAGAAACTCAACGTCACCATTCCAGCCCCCATCTGCCAAGTGGTCACCGGGAAGCAAGGACTCTACCAACAAATCAACATCCAGAAGAAATCCATGACTGTCCAACAATACTGCGAACTAGCCAACTCCGAGCGCTACGCAACCCCCAGACATTTCGACTACGAAGATCTTGAGCGAAAATACTGGAAGAACATCACCTACGTGGCACCCATTTACGGCGCCGACGTTTCGGGAAGTCTGACGGACGAGACCGTCAACGAATGGAACATCAACCGACTCGGGACCATCCTGGATTACGTGAACGAAGACTACGGGATCTCCATCGAGGGCGTGAACACGGCGTACCTGTATTTCGGGATGTGGAAGACCACGTTCGCTTGGCACACGGAAGATATGGATTTGTATTCGATTAATTATTTGCATTTCGGGGCGCCCAAGACCTGGTACTCGATTCCGCCCGAGCACGGAAGGAGGCTGGAACGGTTGGCTAATGGCTTCTTTCCGAGCAGTTATAAAACGTGTCAGGCGTTTTTGAGACACAAGATGACGTTGATATCGCCGCAGATTCTGAAGCAGTACTCGATTCCGTATAATAAGATCACGCAAGAGGCGGGGGAGATTATGATCACGTTTCCTTATGGATATCACGCAGGTTCGTAATGGAAAAATTAACTTGGGGTTTTTGTTAAGTGGTTTTTGTTTGCAGGTTTCAACCACGGCTTCAACTGCGCCGAATCGACCAACTTCGCCTGCGAGCGTTGGATAGAGTACGGGAAACGTGCGTCACAATGCACTTGTAGCAAAGACATGGTGAAAATCTCCATGGACACGTTCGTCAAACGATTCCAGGCGGACCGCTACGAAATGTGGCTGAAGGGCGAAGATATAGGCCCCCATCCTGAAGAACCCAACAAGCAAGTCGCCGCACCTTTGCCCCTCCCCCAGGACATCCTCTGCAACAAGAATAACGATTCGTTGCCGGCTGGTTTGATCGAAGGCCAACTCAAAAAAGCGAAGAAGGCGGGACGTATGATGAATTACACTCAGTACGTGCTGATTCGTCGTCTAATTTAAAATTTAAATAACACGTCGTGTTACGAAATTCTAGGGACTTCTCCATGGTGGATTTCCCGGCCGAGTTGCAGCTACAACTGATGGAAGAGGACGACATGGGTTACGTAAACGGGGAATTTCCGCCAGACGAACAGCAGCTCGAAGTCCTGGAGGACATCTGGTTGAAAGCTGGCGAAATCGAAGCCGAAGACGCGATGATCTGCGACGCCGGGTACAGAGTCAACAGCAAAAGGAAGTTTCTGGCGAAAAAGCGCAAACCCAAAGACAGCAACGGGAGGAGAGGGCGTCCACCGAAGAAGCGTTCCAAGGAAGAAGAGGGCGAAGAACGAAGCGAAGAGAGCATGGAATCGAACGAACTCACCGGTATCTACGCACCCTGTAACAGCAAGAGCAAAAAAGTGTGCGGGAAAATCGTGGCTCCTGTGGATACTTCCGAGTTGGTCAAGTCTTTGGTGGCGCAAGAAACCAACAAGCTGTTGCACCACCACAAGAAACACAAACACAAGCACGATAAACACAAGCATAAGAAGTGCAAACACAATAAGTCGGCGACGTCGACGACTTCGGATGTCTCGAATACGGAAAACGGCGAAACGAACGAAGTGAAGAAGGAGATCGACGATATTATAAGGAAGGCGCACGAAGAGCACGAGCAGAATATTCTGAAAGAGACCGCTTCGACGGAACCTAAAGAAGAAACGTCGGGTTCGAATAATGCTTCAGAGGCGCCGAAATTGGCACAGAATAATCTGCTGAACGAGCTGAAGGCATACAGGAAGGTGAAGGATCCGGCAGAAGGTTTCAGAATGGATCAGAAAGTACAAACTATACACACTTCGAAGGGGACTATTACTTTGCTCGAAACGAGACCGGTTTGTTCGAAGCCCGTGCCAGAGGTCAAGCCGCCGGTCATGAAAATTAATTCCGATAAGAAGAATATGTACGAAGACGCGTTTTTGACTTTCCTGTCCAGAACCAAAGAAGAGCCAGCGAAGAAGGCGCCCAAGGAGCAAGCGAAGTGTACAGAAGAGAACGTTGAGGATTTTACTAAGGTAGTAAAGGTGTTAAAATAAAAATTTGTAACATTTTTCAATTTAACTGTGACACTGAAAAAACGAATGCTCTGAAAACATTCGATTTCCCAATTTTTCGATGTTTTAGTTCTAGAGTTCTTCAGTTTTTCGATTTTTCAATTCCTCGGTTTTCCAATTTTCCATTTCCTCAATTTTTTATTTTTTCGTTTCTCTATTTTTCGATATTTCAGTTTTACGATTTTAAAAATTTTCAATTCTTCCATTTCCCGATTTTTTAATTTTCTGATTTTTCGTTTTTACCAATTTTTCGATTTCTCGACCTATCGATATTTCGGTGTTTCGATTATTTGGGTTTTTAAACTTCTCGATTTTTCAATTTTTTTCATTCAAATTTTTCGATTCTCCATCTTTTGAGGTTTGGATTTCTGAATGTTTCGATTTTTCGGCGTTTTGCCATTCTCTATTTTACTGGTTTTTGATGTTTTACTTTTTCCCTTCCTCAATGTTTCAACATTACACTTTGGGGATTTTTCAATTCCCCCATTTTCCATTTCCTCGATTTTCAAATTTTCAGTTGTACCAATTTTTTGATATATCGAGATTTCGGTGTTCCGGTTTTTTCAATTTATCGGTTTTTCGATTTTGGGCTATTTGGATTTCTCGATTTTTCAACGTCTCAACTTTTCGATTTCTCGGTTTTTCTATTTTTCGCCTTTTCGATTTTCGATGTATTTTTGTATTCCTCGATTTCTCAATTTTTCGATTTCCCGATTTTTCTGCCTTAGAGTTTTGAATTTTTTTAATTTTTCTGTTCTTCAAATTGTGGATTGTTTTAAATTTACATTTTTCGGCTTACCGTTTTTTTAATTTTTCGAATTTTGATAATTTCGTTTTCTCGATTTTTCAGTTTTTCCATTTTTCGTCTTTCGATATTTCGTTTTTTCTATATTTTAATTCTTGGATTTTTCGTTTTTTCGATATTTGAATTTTCAGTTTTTTAACTTTTCGATTTTTTGATTTCTCGAATTTTCGATCCTAGAATCTTCAATCTCTCTACTTTTCGATTTTTGATTTTTCAGATTTTCGGTTTTTAAATGTTTACATTCTTCGGTTTTAAAGTTTTTAATTTTGGAAATTTCGATTTTTCCATATTCCAATTTTCGATTTTTTACTTTATACAGTTAAAAAACAAACATCTCAAATCAAATTTCACAAACAAGCGTGATTCATTGATCTTGACTTTGACACTGAAAAAGCGAATGCTCTAAAAACATTCGATTTCCCAATTTTTCGATATTTCAGTTCTGGGGTTCTTCAGTTTTTCAATTCTTCAATTTTCCGATTTTTAAATTTTCTGATTTTTCATTTTTACCAATTTTTCGATTTCTCGACCTATCGATATTTCGGTGTTTCGATTATTTGGGTCTTTAAACTTCTCGATTTTTCAATTTTTTTCATTCAAATTTTTCGATTCTCGATCTTTTGAGGTTTGGATCTCTGGATGTTTGGATTTTTCGGCTTTTTGCCATTCTCGATTTTACTGTTTTGATGTTTTACTTTTTCGTTTCCTCAATGTTTCAACATTACAGTTTAGGGATTTTTCAATTCCTCCATTTTCCAATTTTCCGTTTCCTCGATTTTCAATTTTTCAGTTGTACCAATTTTTTGATTTATCGAGATTTCGGTGTTCCGGTTTTTTTCAATTTATCGGTTTTTCTATTTTTCGCCTTTTAGATTTTCGATGTCTTGATGTTTCAATTTTTTGATGTATCGATATTTCGATTTCGCAATTTTTCTTTTGAATTTTTCTTTTTATCATTGATCAATTTTCCGATACATACTTGAGTTTTGGAATTAAATGTTTTGATTTCTCAAATTTTAGATTTTTGCGAGTTTTTCGTTTCTTTTTTTTGTTGATCTTTCAGTTTTCTTCCGATTTTCATTTTTTCGATATTTCAGTTTTATCGATTTATCGAAATTTCAGTGTTCCGATTTTTTTATTTTAGGCTATTCTGTTTTATTTTTCAATTTTTTTATTCCTCGATTTCTCAATTTTTTGTGGATTGTTTTAAATTTACATTTTTCGGCTTACCGTTTTTTTAATTTTTCGAATTTTGATAATTTCGTTTTCTCGATTTTTCAGTTTTTCCATTTTTCGTCTTTCGATATTTCGTTTTTTCTATATTTTAATTCTTGGATTTTTCGTTTTTTCGATATTTGAATTTTCAAGTTTTTTTACTTTTCGATTTTTTGATTTCTCGAATTTTCGATCCTAGAATCTTCAATCTCTCTACTTTTCGATTATTGATTTTTCATATTTTCGGTTTTTAAATGTTTACATTCTTCGGTTTTTAAAGTTTTTAATTTTGGAACTTTTGATTTTTCCATATTCCAATTTTCGATTTTTTACTTTATACAGTTAAAAGCAAACATCTCAAAATCAAATTTCACAAACAAGCGTGATTCATTGATCTTGACTTTGACACTGAAAAAGCGAATGCTCCGAAAACATTCGATTTCCCAATTTTTCGATATTTCAGTTCTGGGGTTCTTCAGTTTTTCAATTCTTCAATTTTCCGATTTTTAAATTTTCTGATTTTTCATTTTTACCAATTTTTCGATTTCTCGACCTATCGATATTTCGGTATTTCGATTATTTGGGTTTTTAAACTTCTCGATTTTTCGATTTTTTTCATTCAAATTTTTCGATTCTCGATCTTTTGAGGTTTGGATTTCTGGATGTTTCGATTTTTCGGCTTTTTGCCATTCTCGATTTTACTGTTTTGATGTTTTACTTTTTCGTTTCCTCAATGTTTCAACATTACAGTTTAGGGATTTTTCAATTCCTCCATTTTCCAATTTTCCGTTTCCTCGATTTTCAATTTTTCAGTTGTACCAATTTTTTTATTTATCGAGATTTCGGTGTTCCGGTTTTTTTCAATTTATCGGTTTTTCGATTTTGGGGTATTTGGATTTCTGGATTTGTCAATGTCTCAACTTTTCGATTTCTCGGTTTTTCTATTTTTCGCCTTTTAGATTTTCGATGTCTTGATGTTTCAATTTTTTGATGTATCGATATTTCGATTTCGCAATTTTTCTTTTGAATTTTTCTTTTTATCATTGATCAATTTTCCGATACATACTTGAGTTTTGGAATTAAATGTTTTGATTTCTCAAATTTTAGATTTTTGCGAGTTTTTCGTTTCTTTTTTTTTGTTGATCTTTCAGTTTTCTTCCGATTTTTATTTTTTCGATATTTCAGTTTTATCGATTTATCGAAATTTCACTGTTCCGATTTTTTGGTTTTGGGCTATTCTGTTTTGTTTTTCAATTTTTTTATTCCTCGATTTCTCAAATTTTCGATTTCCCTATTTTTCTACCTCACAGTTTTGATTTTTTTTAATTTTTCGAATTTTGATAATTTCGTTTTTTCTATATTTTAATTCTTGGATTTTTCGTTTTTTCGATATTTGAATTTTCAGTTATTTTACTTTTCGATTTTTTGATTTCTCGAATTTTCGATCCTAGAATCTTCAATCTCTCTACTTTTCGATTATTGATTTTTCAATTTTCGGTTTTTAAATGTTTACATTCTTCGGTTTTTAAAGTTTTTAATTTTGGAACTTCCGATTTTTCCATATTCCAATTTTCGATTTTTTACTGTATACAGTTAAAAAACAAACATCTCAAAATCAAATTTCACAAACACGCGTGATTATTGATCTTTACTTCAAGAACGAAGGAAGTTCCGTCGAAATAACCGTCTACCAATTTTTCCAGGTACCTGAAGCGACTTCGACTCCCATCAAGTCGAACGAGCTCACGAGCACTTCCATGCCCCAGCTCACCGCCCCCGAGCCCGAACCCGTCATGGAGCACGAACAAATGCCCATGCTCGACCCGCAACCGGTCCCCATCGAAGACGCACCACCAGTTCAACCCAATCCTCCGACGAACACAGTGCCTCAACAGAACGGTCAATCCAAAAACATAAACTTTCCGAACGTCCCCCAGCAGTTTTTTCCGAAGACGCCCCACAAGCCCAACATGATCTGGAGCAACCACAAATACTACACCGTCAACCACTGCACAACCACCACGTATTTAAACAAAGAAAGGTTTTATCCAATGACGAATTGTGCAATAAAGCTGGACAGCGAGATAACGCCGATAAACGAGGTTATAGTCAAAGACCGCGAAGTGGAGGATTCGGAATGCGAGTCATGCGATTCTTGCTGCGATTCGTGTTCGTGTTGCGATTCGTGCTGCGAATCGGAGCAAGATTCCGAAGTCGAGGAGAAGAAAAACGAGGAGAATTCGTCGTTGATCTTGAACAGTATTATCAAAGCGGGCCAGGTGGAGGAGGTGAAGAAGAAACGCGGGAGGCCGCCGAAGAACAAGTTCAATTTGGAACGATTGAAGAATATAACGCAGTTGGTGTTGGGGGTGAAGAACGGCGAGAAGTTCTATAATAACAAGATCGAGAATTTGAAGAACGCGTTCCAGAAGAGGAGGCCGGGGAGGCCGCCGAAGAACGCGAACAACAACAACACGATGACTGATTTCCACTCGTATAATAAGAAGCTGTTGGAGAAGATGGCCAAGTTGACGCCTCTAGAAGCCAAAGTTAAATTAGTCAACGTTCTAGATAATTTCACTAAAGATGTACAAAATTACTTGAAGTCGGGGTTGCCGTTGCTGAACGTGAGCTCGCTGTCGATAGAGGAGGGGGAGAAGCGGCGGAAGGAACCGCCTATAGATGGGCAGATGCAGTTTAGGGTTAATTTGAAGGATGTGGTGTGGGCCAAACACCGCAACGGTAGATTTTATAAGGCTAGGGTGGTGGATGTTAAGATCGTGACGTATCTGTGCGTCTATTTTCCGTTCGATCAGAGCTTCTGCAAGGACGTTCTGAAGACGGACTTGGTGGGGTGGGACTTGACGAAGGTGCCGACGGTCGGGGAGAAGCTGAAGGTGCGGTGGAAGGATGGGACGGTGTATGATGCAGACTACATGGGGCGGACCGATTGTAGGGTGTATGTGGTACGTAAACTTGGACCCAAATTTATTTATTTTATTTATTTAATTATTTTGTGCAGGTATTATTCGAAGACGAGTCGAGTTTGGAGCTGAAGCGCGACTCGATTTTCTCGCTTTCCGAGACGATACCGAAAAAGATCGCTACAAAATTGGTAAAAGTTTACTTTTCTGTGAATAATCGTATATTAATTGGTTTGTCTACAGTCGTACGCTAGTGATATGCGAAACAGAGAACATCTGTACCAGCTCGAGAGGCAACTACCGGAAAAAAGACCCGTCAAGAAGAAATGCTTCGAGAACGAATAGTTAAGAATCTAAAGATTTATTTTAAATTCATAAAGTTTCTTTCGTTTCAAAGACTGAATCAATTTGGATTAACATCATGGTATTTCGTTTCAATTTTCGATTTTTTTTATTGTGATTGATTTAGTTATGTATTCATACGTATATTTGGTCGATAGGCTTTATTATTTTATCTTAAGTGTGATAAAAATCTGTATTTATTTAATCCATATTGTATATACAGAAGTTCTTTTTATGCCCTAGATTTTTGAGAATACACTGTAAAATAGGAGTAGTTGCAGATCAAGTGTTGAATAAATTTCTCCACGTTTATTGTAACAGATCTTGATTATCACGAATCCGGCTTAGGAACAGTGGGGTTTTTATCACATTGGGTGATAAACGGGTCAAATGACATGTAAATTTAGTCGGAAAGAGAGGGAAATTTCTCGAGAAAATTCAGGTTGGCAAACACTCTTATCTTATCGTTGTTTTACGGTGATTAAGGAACCTTGAACCGATTGGTCGAGATCGTTCGCGGTGCATTGATGGAAAATTTTCAAAATTCAGGGCGAACGAGTTTCTGTAAAACGTTGTAACGAAAACAAAGCCGTTAAAAAAAATTCTGATTTTTGATTGAAGCAATGTTTGTGTTGGTAATTCTGAACTATTGGCAGCCATGCCAGTTCACCGTGGGTTGTCATGTCACTTTGACAATCAGATGTGCCATTATAAAATTTTAACTGGGTTGCCAACCTGAAAAGTAGAAAACATAGTGAATGTGATGATCCAAGAATTCGAAAACAGATAGTGTTACTATGATTAAAAAAATCTGACACCTGCATTGCTACTCACTTAATTACGCGGTACTGTTTCATCATTCTTCAGGAATTTACGATACTCAGCGAGACAAAGATATCTAGCGAAAAATCACACGATGATTCGGCTTAAACACTAAGCAGAGAACTACGAATAACAATTAACAATTAAAATTTCCGGATGCCCACAATTTTTCCAACTTAATCGTGTCACTATCAGTTTACGAGTTCGCCACAACGAACGTTAATTAGCCAAATTTCCTGCAAGACAACAACAGGGGATTGTAATTGGAAGATTACTACAACAGAGAAGAGGAACCGAAAAATTCCTCGTTTCAACATCTAGAACGTACCTACAACTCGATAATATTTCGTGGAATTTTACTTAGTTTACATAAAACGACAAATATTTTTCACGTTTATCGTCAAGAGATTTATTAATTTACATAATTGTCGATAAGAGCTGCGATGACGCCTGAAAAATAGCCAAATTATCGCGAATCGCCAATCCGAGATCCAATTTTTGACCTAATGGTGCCGAATGACAACGCGGATTTGCATGTTGCAGCAAAAAATGACATTAGTCACTGAGAAAGACACTTTTGGAACTGATAACGATGTGTATCTGTTTGACTTTAAAGTCCAATAATGGGAGTAAAAGTGGAAAGTGCAGGACCTGAACACCGAAATAACTACTGACGTTTTATTTTAGTTTTCGATTTTCGTAGTACTCCGGAGATATAGAACACAATAAAGTTGTTGGCTTTTACAATCATCGCACCCATCCATCATCGTGAAATAACAAAAACAGATTGTTTTTAATCATTAAGTCGTAACGTGCAAAAACAGGAAGGATTTAATCGGGCCGGTCACTGGGCAGGAAAAGAAGTGTGCCAGATCTCCGATTTTTGAACTTTGGATTTTTTCGAAAAAGCTTATATAATAAGAAGTATTTGTAAATTATAACTAATGTACGCACGATTGGAAAGTATTCTCGCATGACTAATGACAATGTTATTATGTGTTTGTAAAGCAAGTTAGATCAACAAGAAAATCATTAAACGAACATTAACGTTCACTAGTGATAAAAGAACAATGATTTTCTTATTTACACAATTAAAATAACTAATGAGAATCGATCAAGATGTTGAATGCAACCCACAGGATTTTAAAACTAAATTTAATGTTTTTAACTACCGCAACTTTGGCTTTTATTAAAAATTTAATTAATGCAACTTTGGTTTTATTAAAGAATTGGTCGAAGGTTATTTCGACTGAACTTCCCTTGTCCCTATTGTGTTTCCATTTTCCCATTTGCAATTTTTCGTTTCTTCAGTTTTACTCTTCGAGTTTTCATTTTTAAATTTTTCAATTTTCGATTTCCAATCTCACGAGAATTTTTAATTTTTCGACTTTTCAATTTTTCCATTAGCGGTTTTTCTTTTCTTTATATTTTGGATTGCTCAAGATTCTGATTTTATAATTTTTCTTTTTTCGATGTAAAATTTTTTAATCCATTTTTCTGTTTTTAGATTTTTCGATTTTTCAACTTCTAGATTTTTTAGTTTTTCATTTTTCAATTTCTAGAATTTTCAATTTTTCGTTTTTTCAATTTTGTTGAAAATTTTTGTGGTTTTCATTTTAAACATGTAATAATTATTTTCAATTTACCGTTTTTCAATTTTTCTTTTTTTCGTTTCTTCAGTTTTACTCTTCGAGTTTTCATTTTTAAATTGTTCAATTTTTCGATTTTCCAACTTTCGGATGTTTCAATTTTTCATGAGAGTTTTAATTTTTGATTTTTCAAGGTTTCCATTTTTCCATTTTCAGTTTTTCGTTTCTGTTTTTTCAACATTCTGATTTTATAATTTTTCTTCTTTCGATGTGAAATTTTTCAATTTATTTTTCGGTTTTTAGATTTTTCGATTTTTCAACTTCTAGATTTTTTAGTTTTTCGTCTTTCAATTTTAGAATTTTCAATTTCTAGAGTTTTCAATTTTTCGTTTTATTTATTTTTTTATTTATTTAATTTATTTTAGTTTCTTCAATTTTGTTGCAAATTTTTCTAGTTTTCATTTTAATCATGTAATAATTATTTTGATTAAAAAAATCAGTTTTTCAATTTTACGATTTGCGATATTTCAGTTTTTTATTTTTTTCTTTCTTCAATTTTTAGAATTTCAAATTTCTGGAATTTTCAATTTTTCAATTTTTCGATTCTGTAAATACTCATTTCTCAAATTTTTGATTAGCCATTTTTCGTTTCGATTTTTTATTTTCTTTATTTTTACAATTTTCCGATTTTTCAATGAACCGATTTTATAATTTTTGTTTTTTCAATTTTTCTTTTTTTCGTTTCTTCAGTTTTACTCTTCGAGTTTTCATTTTTAAATTGTTCAATTTTTCGATTTTCCAACTTTCGGATGTTTCAATTTTTCATGAGAGTTTTAATTTTTCGATTTTTCAAGGTTTCCATTTTTCCATTTGCAGTTTTTCGTTTCTGTTTTTTCTTTTTATCACGCTTTTATTAGCTTGGGTTGTATCTATGTATGTATGTAACGGAATCTTTGAGCTTAATTTTCATCGGTTTCTAAAAGTCTGATCATCTTGAAACTTTGCACACGTCTCAAGGATCGATGACAATGCAATAATTTGATAACAGTTTCCCATTTTCCTTATTAGGACCGCCAGGATCCTCGATCCTACGGAGACCACTGAGTGTTTCTTTCTAGAAAAATCTAAATAAGTAATTAATTCCCCAATTTATGAATTTGTCGCAGACTAAAAAATGAAAAATAAATAATAGTTTAAAAAACTAAAAAAACACGCTTTTATTGCTAATCGAACTAAAAACTAGAAAATAATTTTTAATGACAGAGTTTAATATTACAGTAGTAGAAGATCAAACAATCAATCATAATAAATCACCTCAAATTAAAATTATAATAAAATTTAAGTTATTAACAGAATAATTCAATTCAGAGTAAATAGCGTGGGGTGCATTTTACTGCGGTTCATAACTATCCTCTCATAGATAGTTGCCAATAGAATGATTGTAATATTTAAAATATCAAGCACCCCACGCTTTTTACTCTGAATTGAATTATTCTGTTAATAATTTAAATTTTATTATAATTTTAATTTGAGGTGATTTATTATGATTGATTGTTTGATCTTCTACTACTGTAATATTAAACTCTGTCATTAAAAATTATTTTCTAGTTTTTAGTTCGATTAGCAATAAAAGCGTGTTTTTTTAGTTTTTTAAACTATTATTTATTCGGTTTTTCAACATTCTGATTTTATAATTTTTCTTCTTTCGATGTGAAATTTTTCAATTTATTTTTCAGTTTTAAGATTTTTCGATTTTTCAACTTCTAGATTTTTTAGTTTTTCAATTTTAGAATTTTCAATTTCTAGAGTTTTCAATTTTTCGTTTTTTTAATTTTGTTGCAAATTTTTCTAGTTTTCATTTTAAACATGTAATAATTATTTTGATTAAAAAAAATCACTTTTTCAATTTTACGATTTGCGATATTTCAGTTTTTTTATTTTTTTGTTTCTTCAATTTTTAGAATTTGCAATTTCTGGAGTTTTCAATTTTTCGATTCTGTAATTACTCGTTTCTCAAATTTTTGATTAACCATTTTTCGTTTCGATTTTTTATTTTCTTTATTTTTACAATTTTCCGATTTTTCAATGACCCGATTTTATAATTTTTGATTTTTCAATTTACCTTTTTTCAATTTTTCTTTTTTTCGTTTCTTCAGTTTTACTTTTCGAGTTTTCATTTTTAAATTGTTCAATTTTCGATTTTCCAACTTTCAGATGTTTCAATTTTTCATGAGAGTTTTAATTTTTCGATTTTTCAAGGTTTCCATTTTTCCATTTGCAGTTTTTCGTTTCTGTTTTTTCTTTTTCGGTTTTTCAACATTCTGATCTTATAATTTTTCTCCTTTCGATGTGAAATTTTTCAATTTATTTTTCGGTTTTTAGATTTTTCGGTTTTTCAACTTCTAGATTTTTTAGTTTTTCGTTTTTCAATTTTAGAATTTTAAATTTCTAGAGTTTTCAATTTTTCGTTTTATTTATTTATTTTTTTATTTATTTTATTTAATTTATTTTGGTTTATTCAATTTTGTTGCAAATTTTTCTAGTTTTCATTTTAAACATGTAATAATTATTTTGATTAAAAAAAAATCACTTTTTCAATTTTACGATTTGCGATATTTCATTTTTTTTATTTTTTTGTTTCTTCAATTTTTAGAATTTGCAATTTCTAGTGTTTTCAATTTTTCGATTCTGTAATTACTCATTTCCCAAATTTTTGATTAGCCATTTTCGTTTCGATTTTTTATTTCCTTTATTTTTACAATTTTCCGATTTTTCAATGAACCGATTTTATAATTTTAGTTTTTTCAATTTTTCTGTTTTTCGTTTCTTCAGTTTTACTCTTCGAGTTTTCATTTTTAAATTGTTCAATTTTTCGAGTTTCCAACTTTCGGATGTTTCAATTTTTCATGAGAGTTTTAATTTTTCGATTTTCAAGGTTTCCATTTTTCCATTTGCAGTTTTTCGTTTCTGTTTTTTCAACATTCTGATTTTATAATTTTTCTTCTTTCGATGTGAAATTTTTCAATTTATTTTTCGGGTTTTAGATTTTTCGATTTTTCAACTTCTAGATTTTTTAGTTTTTCGTTTTTCATTTTTGTTGCAATGTTTCTAGTTTTCATTTTAAATATGTAATAGTTATTACCCCCCATAATTTTTGAAATATTTCACTTTTTTAATTTTACAAGTTTAGAATTATTCCATTTTCGATTGGATTTAAAAATTTTTTCATTTATACGATTTTTCTGTTTTAATTTTTCGATCTTTCGATGTTACAGTATTTCGATATTGCAATTTTGACGATTCTAAATTTTTGGATTTTTAAGTTCCTTCATTTCTTCGATGTGCAATTTTTGTTTTTCGATTTTTCAGTTTTTTCCGATTTTTTGGTTTTTCCATTTTCGAATAAAAAAAATGGAAACATTGAAAAATCCAAAATGTAGAAACGAAAAAGTGTAAAATGAAAACTTTGAAAAATCTAAAATTTAGCAACCAAGAACTAGAAAAATTTAAGACGCGGAAAAGTGAAAAATCGAAAAAATTGTTGAAAATTAAAATGAAAAATAAAAAACTGAATATTTGAAAAACTGAATGAACGAAAAATTATAAAATCAAAAGAGACATGGAAAAAATAAAGGAAATGCTAAAACTAAAATTTGTGATATAAAATTGAGAAAATGAAAAATTAATATCAAGAACTTGAAAAATTGTGGAAACGAAGAACTGAAAAATCGAAAAATGAAAAATTGTAATAGACAGGATGTTCAAAAAATGACGCACCAATTTATGACACGTTGTTCAAGATCAATAACAAAAAACTTGAAAAAAGTTAGTATGAATCTGACGTCTGATTTTTGACCACCCTGTAGAAAAATTACAAAATTGAAAATAGCAAATCGAAAAATTGGAGAAACGGAAAACTGAAAGATTTTCCGAATTTTATTTTTTTATGATAACCCTAACCTTGAATTAATCAATACAATAAACTGCCTCGTTCATAATTTTTTTGAGTCACCGTGTATAAGTAATTCTAAAACTATGAATGCACTGATAAACCACAAGTCCAGAGTCGTAATATTTCGCATATTTCAGACAAGATTGATTTGTCAAAATTTTGAGATGACGTCATCAATTGTTTCGAAGGGGACGAGCATTGGGTTTTGCACTTTCAAAGTTAACTTGCTAAATGTTGTCATACAGTTTTGATTTTTTTACAAAAATTTGCCACCTACATGATAATGTTTTGCTTTGGAACCAGAACAGCTGTGAATTACTTCAGCGATAAATGCGATCGTTTTGCAACAAAATTCCTAGAATTATTTTTCTGGAACCAATTCCACTTAATCTTTAAACTGGATATATTTCGATTAACCCGTTCCCAGAAATGCGATTTTTTAATGGCACAAATCGAGCCTTGGTTCCGGAGCTCCAAACGCTCTTGTAAAAGAAAAAATCTGTTGAATTCAACCGGCAGATGGCTATCGTTACGTTTCACGATTCACAATGTCAGCGTCGAAGAGCTTATCAGAGTGGACCTTCGGGTCAGAGGGGAACATATAAAAGCACTGTTGGGGGTTAATCGGTCAGTTTTTGTGCGCTATGGCTCGAAGAAGCCCCGTCAAGGTGGGCCTAGTCCTAGCACTGGTTTTTGTTTTTAGCTATGGACAGGCCGACGGTGAGTACCTTTTTTACGTAATAACATTTTTAAAGTAAATAATTTCGATGAAATTAGAAACAATTTTAAACGAATCGAACAGGATTTTTTTTTTCTTGATCTAAAGCATCCCTGTTTTCAAAACCGTGGCCATACACTTGAAAATCATCTTTTACTTTGCGACCGTTGACACCGTGTTTGTAAAAGTTGAGCGATAACCAGAAGCCGAAGATCACACTTTTTCATAAACAGCGATAAAATTTGCGTAAACAATTTAATCAGAATTTAATTAAACGACCCCTGACCTTGATAAGGGGCTATTTTCATTTCTTCGAGATAAGGTAACTATTTCTGAGAAGAAAAAAAGCCGGATGACCTTTTGTACTTAGTCATATTAAGCCGGTGTTTGATCGACGTTATTAACTCAACCATGTGTTTATTTCATTATGTAAAGTGGATAATAGTTCCATTTAAATTTAAGACAACCTGTTTGTCACCCAACACAATGGAACTACCATATACGGGGTGTTGCGTTAAATTTTTTCAACGGTAATGACCCCCCTGTAGCTTCTTATCGCAGAAGTCAAGTTCAATAATTAATCGAAATAAATTGAAGCTTGAACTTTCACCGATAACAATAATACATAATTTTCGTGGTTTTTAGATACGTGTAGGACCGGATGTCATGGGGCCTCTCGAACTTTCAAGTACCATGAAGGTACTACGTACAAGTACAACTTCGACAGCAAAATCCAAGTGAGCCTATCCAGCGCCGAAGGCCAGCAGAGTACCACCGAAGTCAAGGCCACAGTATTACTGACCCAGCAGCCCCAATGCAACCAAGTCATCCGACTGCAAAACGTCCAAGTCATCGGCAACGACGGAAAAGTAGCCTTTCACCCAAATCGTGACTCTTTCTAACCCTTCAGATTCCAGAAACACGCCAACATTCCAGACGTGGACAAACCCATCAGGATCAACTTCCACGACGGCCACCTCGAAGACAGTATTTGCGCCACACCTGGAGACTCCCAGAACTCGCTGAATCTCAAGCGAGCCATCGCTTCCATCTTCCAGGCCAACCTGAAGAGCGGCCACGAAACCGACGTGTTCGGTCTCTGCCACACCGAAGTCGCCCAACACAAAGAAGGCAACATCCTGGTGATCCAGAAGTCGCGCAATCTCAACCGATGTGCCTACCGCGAGTCCATCAAGCAAGACTTCCTCGCCACCGCCTTCAACCTCAACAGCGAAATCAAATCCAGCCCTATTCTCAACGGCGACTACGACGCCAAGCTCCGGGTGAAGAACGGCATCCTCGACCAGGCCACCGTCCACGAGAACTACCTCTACGTCCCCTTCTCCGTGGGCAACAACGGCGCCAAAGCGTCCGTCGAAACCGTCTTGAAGTACGTCGGCACCGCCAAAGACAACGCGCAAGTCCAGGTGAGTCAGCCTCGGTCCATCATCTTCGAGGACCCCCATGACGTCAACTCGCCGCACGCGAGCGTCAACAGCATCCTCACGGCCGTGCGCCAAGTGGCCAAGACCATCGACGTCGTGGTTGGCGAAAACACGGCGAAGGAGTTCTTGAACCTGGTGAAAATCCTGAGGGTTAGCAAGAAAGACGACCTTTTGGCGGTGTACAGTCAGGTTAAGGCTGGAGTCGGCTTTCCGGATAAAGTGGCGGCGAAGAAGATCTTCCTGGATGCGTTGCTGCGTGCCGGCAACGGTGACGACATCGAAGTGGCGATCGAGCTTTTGAAGAACAGGGAACTCGACGAGGTGGAGGAGCACCTGGTGTATTTGGGGCTGTCGACGGTGCGGCATGCCACCGAAAACTCGATTTCCTCGGCGGCGGCGCTTTTCAACCAGCCGCATCTTCCGAGGGTGGCCTACCTGGGGATTGGTAACCTCGCTGGAAGGTTTTGTAGACAACACTCGTGCGAGAACGTCGCCGCTGTTAATAGTTTGACGGAGACGTTGATTTCGAAGCTCGGGAATGGAAAAGCGACCAACAGGCAACAAGAGAATGATCTTGTTTTCGTTCTTAAAGCGTTGGCTAATATTCGCCATTTGAACGACAAGGTTTTGGCGAAGATCACCGCCATAGCGCAGGATAAGAAGGCGCCGAATCGGGTTAGAGTGACGGCTTTGGAGACGTTCTTGGCGGATCCTTGCAAGGATAAGCTGCGTGATAGCGCCATCACGATCCTGAAGGACATCCAGCAGGACTCCGAAATCCGTATCAAAGCTTACTTGGCCCTGGCTCAGTGTCCCAACAATAAGGTGGGCAACGCCGTCAAGACCCTCCTGGAGACCGAACCCAGCTACCAAGGTACGTCCTCCACTTTTTTCGTTCTGTCTGTAGTAAATTTGTCTTTATTTTTACAAAATAAGGTACTCCTGCACTTGTGGTGTATGATTCCGAGTAGAGTTTTTATTTTTCAGATTTTCGATTTCTTCTTTTTTATTTTTCTGTTTCTTTATTTTCCGATATTTCAGTTTTACGATTTTTAATAATAATAATAATAATAATAATAAGAAGAAGAAGAAGAAGAAGAAGGTAACCAAGGCTTTTCAACTTACCTTAAACAAAACAAAATATTTAGAAAAACAAGAAAATTTTGCAAGCTATAAGGCAAAAACAAAAAAAAAAAAGAACAAAAGAACTTAAATCTAACTTAAACATAATTAACTGAGGAAACACTCACAACAAAACAAAAATAAATAGTACTTTTTAGAGCACCATTTTTCAATGTATCAGTTTTTGGCGTTTCTAAATCTTCGGTTTTTTGATTAAAGATTTTCCCACATCTCGATTTCTCTTTCGATTTTTTGATGTTTCAACTTCTCGACTTCTCGATTCTCCGATTTTTTGGTTTTTAAATTTTTCGATTTTTTGGTTACATCAATTTTTCAATTTCTCGATTTATCGAGATTTCGATGCTTTGATTTTTCAATTTTTTTTTAATTTTCCAAATTTTTATTTTTACGATTTCTCGATTTTTCTTTCAATTGTTTTATTTCTCGGTTTTTCGATTTTTCCCAACTTTTCCATTTACGGATTTTTCAATTTTTCGATATTTTGATTCTAGATTTTTTGGTTTGTCGATTTCTCGACTTCCCGACTTTTCGATTTCCCGATTTCCCGATCTTTTGATGTTTCGATTTCTCGATGTTGCAATTTTTCGATATTTCGATCTTTCAGTTTATCAAAACTTCGATTTTTCGATATTCGAATTTCTTAATTTAGTATTCTTGACGGTTCGATTTTCGATTTTTTAATATTTCGTTTTTTCTTTATTTCAATTCTTGAATTTTTCGATTTTTCGAAATTTCGATTTTCGAATTTTTGATTTTTCGTTTTTCGAATCTTGGATTTTCGAGTTCCCCGTTGTCCCGAATTTTTCTTTTTTTCAAATATGTACTTGATTCATCGAATTTTGATTTTTCGATATGCGAATTTTAATTTGTTTCCTTTTCGATTTCTCGATTTTTCAATTTTTCAGTTCCTTAATTTTTCAAATTTTCAATTTTCGATTTTCGAGTTTATAGTTTTCCGTTTTCCCGGATTTTCGTTTAGATTTTTGTTTCATCGAATTTTCAGTTTTTTAGTTTTCCATTCATCAGTTTTTCGTTTTCTTTGATTTTCCAATTTTTCGATTTTTAGAATTTTCAATTTTTCGACTTCTCTGTGTTTCGATTTTTAAAATTTTTCGATTTCACAAATTTTCAAGTTTTCACTTCAACTTCAAGAATTTTTCCATTTCAAGACTTCAACTTTTCGATATTTTAATTTTAAATTTTTAGATTTGTCGATTTCCCGACTTCTTAAAACTTTTCAGTTTTTCAAGTCCTCCATTTCTAGATTTTGGTTTTTTGATTTCCCGGTGTTTCAATTTTCCAATTTTCAAAACTTCGAATTTTCTATTTTTCTATTTCCGGAAATTTCGAAATTCGATTTTTTTTTATTTCGATTTCTCTATTGTTCAGTTTTTCCATTTTTCAAATTTACGATTTTTTGATTTTTCGAGCTCCGATGTTTCTTTTTTTTATATATTTCCAGTCTTCGATTTTTCGATTTTTTCACATTCGAATTTTCAATTTGTTTCAATTTCTCGAGTTTTTGACTTTCCGGTCTTTTGATGTTTCGATTTCTCGATGTCTCAATTTTCCAATTTTTCGATGTTTCGATTTCTGGGTTTTTCGAATTTTTGATTTTTCGGTTTTCGAATCTTGGATTTTCGAGTTTTAAGTTTCCCGTCTTCCCGAATTTTTGTTTTTTTCAAATATGTACTTGATTCATCGAATTTTGATTTTTCGATGTGCGAATTTTAATTTGTTTCCTTTTCGATTTCTCGATTTTTTAATTTTTCAGTTCCTTAATTTTTCAAATTTTCAATTTTTGATTTTTTGAAATTACGATTTTTCAATTTTTACATTCTTCAGTTTTTTTAGATTTTCGAGTTTATAGTTTTCCGTTTTCCCGGATTTTCGTTTAGATTTTTGATTCATCGAATTTTCGATATTCGATATTTGAGTTTTCAGTTTTTTTATTTCGATTTTTCAATATTCGAATTTTCAGTTTTTTACTTTCCCATTCATCAGTTTTTCTTTTTATTTGATTTTTAAAATTTTTCGATTTCACAATTTTTCAAGTTTTCACTTCAACTTCAAGAATTTTTCCATTTCAAAACTTTTCAACTTTTCGATATTTTAATTTTGTTGATTTCCCGACTTCTTAACTTTTCAGGTTTTCAAGTCCTCGATTTCTAGATCTTTTGGTTTTTCGATTTCCCGGTGTTTCAATTTTCCAATTTTCAAAACTTCGAATTTTCTTTTTTCAATTTCTGGAAATTTCAAAATTCGATTTTTTTTTATTTAAATTTCTCTATTGTTCAGTTTTTCCATTCTTCAAATTTACGATGTTTTGATTTTTCGACCTCCGATGTTTCTTTTTTTTATATATTTCCAGTCTTCGATTTTTCGATTTTTTCATATTCGAATTTTCAATTTGTTTCAATTTCTCGAGTTCTTGACTTTCCGGTATTTTGATGTTTGAATTTCTCGGTGTCTCAATTTTCCAATTTTTCGTTGTTTCGATTTCTGGGTTTTTCGAATTTTTGATTTTTCGGTTTTCGAATCTTGGATTTTCGAGTTTTAAGTTTCCCGCCTTCCCGAATTTTTGTTTTTTTCAAATATGTACTTGATTCATCGAATTTTGATTTTTCGATATGCGAATTTTATTTTGTTTCCTTTTCAATTACTCGATTTCTCAATTCCTTAATTTTTCAAATTTTCAATTTTTGATTTTTTGAAATTACGATTTTTCAATTTTTACATTCTTCAGTTTTTTTTAGATTTTCGAGTTTATAGTTTTCCGTTTTCCCGGATTTTCCTTTAGATTTTTGATTCATCCAATTTTCGATTTTTCCATATTTGAATTTTCAGTTTTTTTGTTTCGATTTTTCAATATTCGAATTTTCAGTTTTTTATTTTCCCATTCATCAGTTTTTCGTTTTCTTTGATTTTCCAATTTTTCGATTTTTAGAATTTTTCAATTTCTCGACTTCTCTGTGTTTCGATTTTTAAAATTTTTCGATTTCACAATTTTTCAAGTTTTCACTTCAACTTCAAGAATTTTTCCATTTCAAGACTTTTCGATATTTTAATTTTAGATTTTTCGATTTGTCGATTTCCCGACTTCTTAACTTTTCAGGTTTTCAAGTCCTCGATTTCTAGATCTTTTGGTTTTTCGATTTCCCGGTGTTTCAATTTTCCAAAACTTTTTCAATTTCTGGAAATTTCGAAATTCGATTTTTTTTTATTTCGATTTCTCTATTGTTCAGTTTTTCCATTTTTCAAATTTACGATTTTTTGATTTTTCGAGCTCCGATGTTTCTTTTTTTAATATATTTTCAGTCTTCGATTTTTCGATTTTTTCATATTCGAATTTTCAATTTGTTTCAATTTCTCGAGTTCTTGATTTCCCGGTCTTTTGATGTTTCGATTTCTCGGTGTCTCAATTTTCCAATTTTTTGATGTTTCGATTTCTCGGTTTTTCGACTTTTTGATTTTTCAAATTTTCAATTTCCAAAATTTCGAATTTTCGATTTTCCAATTTTTCGAAATTTCAATATTCGAATTTTTTTATTTCGATTTTTCGATTGTTCAATTTTTCCATTTTTCAACTTTCCGATTTTTTGATTTTCCGACTTGCCATATTTGTTTTTTTTTTTTTAATTTTTCGATATTCGAATTTTCAATGTTTCTACTTTTCGATTTGTGAATTTTCGAATTTTCAATTTTTACATTTTTAGTTTTTAGACTTAAGTTTTTCGATAAAACAAAAATCGTAAAACAAATTTTACTTACGGCTTTTCAAAAAATAACCTTATACTAATTTGTTTAACTTTGTCTCAGTTGGAGGTTTCATCGTCACCCACATCAGAAACCTGAGAGCCTCCGCCAACCCCGACAAGCAACTCGCCAAGCAGCACCTCGGCCTCATCAACGTCCCCAAACGTTTCCCCTTCGACCTCCGCAAGTACTCCGCCAACGGGGAGTTCTCCTACACCGTCGACTCCATCGGAGTGGCCAACTCCATCGAAACCAACGTCATCTACTCCCAAAGCTCCTTCTTGCCTCGCTCCACCAGCTTAAACCTAACCGCCGAAGTCTTCGGCCACAATTTCAACTTCCTCGAGATCGAAACCCGCCAGGAGAATCTCGACCGTTTGGTCGAACACTACTTCGGTCCCAAAGGCTTGTTCCGAGCTAACAACGTCCAAGAGCTGTGGCAGAACAGCGGAGAAGAAACCGCCCATGCCTTTAAAAAGCTCCACGATCGCGTGAGGGATACTCTAAGGTCGCGTCGCGACCTCTCCAAGGGCGAAATCGACTACATCAACAAGCAAGTCCAAATTCGCACCAACGAACTCAACACCGACTTGGACTTGGATCTGAGCGTGAAGAGCTTCGGCTCGGAGATCTTGTTCCTCAACGTCAACGACGACGTGAGGAAATTTACGCCCGACGTGTTGATCGACCACTTCGTCCAAGGTCTGACGAAGGGTCTGGACAGTTTGAAGCACTTCGAGAAGACTCTTCGTGCTAACCTCATTCTCTTGGACGCCGAGTTTGCCTACCCTACGTCTTCTGGTTTTCCGTTGAGGCTAGGCGTTGAAGGCACTTCGAACCTGCAGGTGAAAGCTTCTGGGGCCATTGATGTCCGTGCGCTGTTGAAGGACGACACCACGGTGAAGGTGTCGCTGATTCCGAGCGCTAACGTCGAAGTGACAGGGAGGTTCACGGTGGACACCCAGGTGGTGGAGAGCGGGCTCAAGGTGATTTCGACGTTGTACACAGCCACGGGTGGCGATTTGATCATCAGTAATACCAATCACGAGGTGGATGTTAAGTTTTCGCTTCCGGTGGAGAAGCAGACTCTGGTTTCGGCTACACACGATATCGTTTTTCATACAAGGGAATGGGGGGCTGCCGAAGCCAACCACCCGCTCAAGTTTGCCCAGAACAAGGACTTCTCGATTTGTTTGGATCAGTTGAGCGAATTCATTGGACTGACGTTCTGCGGGGAGTACACCGGACCCAACCTCCAGGGAGAAAAAGTTCCCATTCTTCCGTTCCCTCTCTCTGGGGACGCCAAATTTGCCGTCACCATCGAGAAGGAGGACCTTTCACATTATCACTTCAAGGAAGCCATCCATGCAGGTAATTGCGGTAACTAGAAATGTTGAAAAACTTATATGTAGTTAAAAACACATTAAAGTCATTTATTTTTTTATTTAATCTAAAGATTATTTTTTATTTTTTTATTCCATTTGCTACAAAAGCGTTTTTTTTTAACTACAATTTTTCGTGTGTTATTGGTTGCCTATATGGTATGTGTTTTTTCTTTAAAATTAGTAAAATCTACGAAATTATTGTGTGGGAATTATGGAATTGGGTGAAACTTTTATTAACTCTTCTCTATTTTGACAAATTTTGTTTTCTGATTTAGAACACAATCACATCGGACTCGAGTACCTCTTGGAAGCCGTGGCCAAAAACGGCCAGAAGAAAGTCAGTTTGGCCGCCGCAGTGGGCCTAGAACCCGATATCTTCGCCAAAGTGTCTCTCACTTCACCCAGCCTTTCTGGTCTAGCGGAAGCTCGACTGTCGACGAGCGAGCAAGGCAAAGCCCTAACAGTGCGCTTCGTACAAAACCAAGACGAATACTACGGAAAAATCGGCATCGCAATAGTCAACGAATCTCCCACTAAGTCGACCTACAAGCCCGTGATGGAATACAAGACTCCTGAAAACAGCGGTACGTAAAAACCTCAAGTGGTAACTCATCTAATTCCGATTTTAGGGATTCAGTTACCGCCGTACCGAGTCGAAGGTCAGGTCATTTACGAGCACGAGGGCCTCAAATCCGTCTACACCCTCGACCACGTCAAATTAGTAATTCCCGACCAGAAGACCATCACTCTCAACGGCCAGTGCGGCCGCGAGAGAGACACCATCTTCTCCGACATGACTCTGTCCGACGGTTCTAACAACGCTGCGTTCAAAGCGAAGTTTCAATTCGTTGAACAGGGATATCAATACAGCGCCGAGTTCAAGAACTCCGTGAGTCCTCAAGGCAACATCCGGTTGAAAGGAGAACTGTCGAGAATCACGTATGGGTACAAACATTTCTTCCAAGTGGCACATGGCGGAGACTTCAGCGACAAGAACAACATCCTCACGATGGAGAACTCCCTCAAGAGCATTAACAAAGGCCCCCAGGACTTTTTAATCGGCACGGAAAACAAACTGACGTACCCTGCGTTGACCACGGATTTGCAGTTCGACTTTGAACTCAAACCTCAAGCGGTTCAATACACGGTTAACATCCAGTACACGAACGTGAAGCTGGGGTCGGAGCTGCAGTGGGAGTATACCAACAAGCACGACGGCACGAACTTCAAGCTGGACTTTGGTTTGTGGGGGCTGAACAACCGGTTGAGTCTCAAATCGCAGCGGACAGTCACTGGAGACCAGTCTCAAGTGGAGAACTCTTTGGATATTAACGGGAAGCGGCTGGAGGTTAACGGGAAAGTCAAGCACCATGTGAGACCCCAGGATATCGACGTGGCTGCTGACTTGATCGTGAAAGTGCCCAACCACAACACACCCTTCAAGTAAGTTTTGTTATGCAACCAGTTATACATTGCTTTATACGACATGCGACTAACGCTGTCTTTCTAGTGTGGTGAGCGGTCTCAAAGTCAACCCCAACGAGTTCGACGTCTCCCACAAAGTCACCTCTGGAAGCACCGTCTACGTGGACGTTTTCTTGAAGGTGAACCGCGCCGGCAACGCCAACGGTAGCATTAAAGTCAACCTGAAGGGCGACCTGGTGATCAACGGGCATGTCAAGGCCAATCGAGGTAGCGGCAACGGTGAAGTCGTCATCGAACTACCAGCGGTAAAACGCGTCAGTAAAATCGACACCACGTTCACCATCCACGAACCCACTTACAACGTCATCGTCAACATCTACCCCATCTTCAACCAAGACAAAACCAAGAAAGTGACTCTGTCGACGCAGACGTCCCTCCCACACAACACCATCGACTCGAAGAACTTCATCGACGTGTTCGGGGAGAAGCTTGAAGTTAACGTGAAAGGGAGTCAGCAGGGTGAAGTCACCAACGGTAAGACAGTGGGAGAGGTGGAGGTCACCCTCCCCAACCAGCACTACTTCGCCGGGAAGCTCAACCGCGAAATCAAGAGTGTCAACAACGTCCTCAACGGGAACGTGGTGGCGAGTGTGGAGCACCGGGCCATCAAGAACCAACCGGGTAACAAAGTCACGCTTAAAGGCCAGTTCAGGGATGTTAAGCCGGACGAAAACATCTACGACTTGAGTTATCAACTCCTGGCGGAGAAGTCGGACGGTCGCAACCTCAACGTAGACCTTAATGCGAAACGCCAAGTCCATGGAGACGTGACTACGGTGGAGTTCACGAACAAGATTTACGGGTCGGAACTAGCCAGTCCGATCGAGAGCGTCTTCAAAAGTAGCTGCAAGCAAGTGCTTGACGGGTCGTTCGAGGTGTCGTCGTCGTACGCACCTCTGGGGAAGGCGTCCATAGCTGGAAAGCACCAGCTTTCGGGACAACCCCTGTCTGGAGAGGTCACGGTGGACGTCAGCACCACGAGTCAGTCCATCCGCACGCTCAAAGTCACCCTCGGAGGCTCCGTTCTCAATAAGGAGTCAGTGGTCGTCAAAGGCAACGCAGACATCTTCGCCGACGCTCCGCAAGGCGTCATCGTCCAGGTCACCACGAGCGGCGAGGTGATCTCCAGCGACTCCGAAGCCAGAATTAAAGGTACCATCAAATCCGGAAGTGGTCACCCGATTTCGGTGGACGCCGGTCTCACCAGAAGCGACAACAAAGACGACAAAGAAGTGAAAGGCGACGTTACTTTGAACTACGGCGAAAACCAGAAGGTCACCGGAGATTTTAACCTAGTGCACGTGTCTGCACGTGAGTACAAATTAGACGCCCGTTTGGACACACCCGTGGAGAAATTCAAAACCAACAGAATCCAAGTCCACACTAAACGCAACGAAGACGACACTCGCTACCAAAGCGAAGTCATCTACACCACCAACGGAAAAACCTGGACCTCCAACACCGACCTCTTCCTCTCCGAGATCACCCCCAGCGTCGAAATCAAAGTCACGTGTCCCGAAGGCAAACTCAGACACCTTCTGGTGAAAGTAACGAAATTGAGCGACCGTCAACTCGGCGGTCAGCTGAAGATCGTCAACCAGAAGAACAACTTCTTGTTGGAAGGCACCCTCGACGCTAACTTCGAGTCCGTGGACGACTTCCACCTCAAAATAACGGCGAACTCTCCGGCTTTGAAGATCGACAAGTACGTGATCGAAGCCCATAACAAGCCCGCCAAAGCTGGACGTCGCATCCAAGTGACGGCCAAATCCGGCAACAAGAATATTCTAGCCGGAAGCACGAGTTACACGGCTCGCGAAGAACACGGTAAACTCATCGTCGAAGGCTCTGGCTCGTTCAAACTCCACGAGAAGACTCAATCGGCTAACTTCAAGTACATCCGACAGAATTTGTCGCAGAGTAAGAACGGAGAAACCGGAATCGAGATTTCGTTCGACGCCGGTTTGGGTAACCAAGCCGTCGACGCCGAACTGAAGATCACCAACAAGCAGTTCCGTATTTTGAACTCGTACTGCGAGGAGAAGAAGTCGTGCGCTCACGTGGAGATCGACGTCAAGACTTCTGCGGACGATCCTGATTATTTCAACCAGGAGATTGAGATTGCGGTGGACTTGAGGAAGTTGGGGTTGTCGCACGAGTTTGGCTTGAAGGCGGTGACGACGAGGAGGCAGCTGGTGTTGGACCACACCATCGACGTGCACTTCCAGAGTGCCGAGAATAGCAAGTACCAGTATAGTTTGTACGTGCACCCGAAGGAGGCTGGGGTTAGTTTGACGACGCCACGAAGAGTGATGTGTTTGGAGAGCAACGTCAACGTGCCGGAGGGCTTCCTGCAGAATGGGGGGCGACTCACGGGAGAAGTGGTCTTCTACTCGGACAAGAGAAACCAACCCAATAAGAAGTCGGGGTTAATCGCTTTCTTGGATTTGAACGCGAGGACTCAGTCGGTCGTTGGAGAAGCGAGATTCACGAACCCCGTGTTGAAGAGACCTCTGGTGGTAGCACTGCAATCGAAAGCGACACCGGTGAGCTTCGACTTCACCACGACGGCTGATGTTTTCACCACCCCTGACCAGAAGCTCGTGGTTTCCTACAAAGCTAAATGGACCGACGTCCACAACACCAAACAGTTCAAAGGTGACGAAGTCTTCGAAATCAAAGGCTCTAATCTTCACTTGAACATCCTCTACGAGGACTGGGGTGCCTACGACATCGAGCAAAACAAGTACGAACTCGGAGTTAAATTCGTCTACACTGGACACAAGAATAAGTATGAGTCGCTCTACAGCTACGAGATCACTCCGAAGAAGGCGTTAGTGGTCTTGGACGTCTTCAACGTCCACCTTTATCGCGTCGAGTCTCAGCTGCAGTTGTCACAAAACCACCAGATCGTGGATAGCGTAATCAGCTGCTATGGTCACAAACCTCTGACCAGTCACATCGAGTTGAAGAACTGGAACACCCTCAAGTACACTCTGTCGAGCAAAGACAAACCGCAAGACAAGCTCCAGGTCAATGCCGCCTTCATCCCAGGACAGATCGCTGATTTCCGAACCGACGTTATCAAAGGTGGCGCTCCCCACGAGCTGGTGCATGCCACCCTCAAACTCGACGAAGCCAATTTCCTCAAGTCCGACTACAACGTTCACGCTAAAAACGTCGAAGAGCTTTTCCTCAAACGGGTGAAAGCCGCAATTCAAGCCGAAGGTGAGGAGCTGAAGAAGCTTTCCGAGAAAATTTCGGCCGACGTAGAGGACGAGCTGACTCATTTGAGTGAACTGGCGAAACACGGAATTGCCTCTTTGACTCCCATCCAGAAGTACTACTCCGACGAACTCCACAAAATCAAGGAGGAAATCCTCGCCGACAAGACCATCAAGGAAGCCAGCGAATTTTTGTACAACATCATCGCAGCTGTGTCCCAAGCTTTCGGAGAGACCTTCTCTCAGTTCAATCACCTCCTCGAGGACCTCGCCGTCAGTTTCCAGAACACCTTCGGCAAAATCCTGGAAGCCATCCAGAAGGACCTCTGGCCCAAAACCAAGATCATCGGCGAGAAAATAGTCAATTTGGTGGTGGAAGTCGTCGACAGCGCCACCGAAATCGTCATCACGATCACCGCCAAAGCCGCGGAAATCGCTGAAAAGTACAGGCCGGAGCTGCAACAGCTGGCGGCCGTGGCTGGAGAAGTCGGCGAAGATGTGTTAAGAGCTGCCATCAACGTCTTCGAGGCTGTGAGAAGCGTGCTGGCCGACCAGTGGGAGCAAGTTTACAACGAAGTGAAGAATCTTCCGGTGGTGGAGCAACTCAAGGCTGAATATCAAAGAATCGCCCAACACGGGTTACCGACGCCTGAGGTGTTGGCCAAGTCCGTCCAAGACCTTTTGGCCACTTTCAGAGATCTGGCACCTACCAATGAATTGAAAGAGCTCATTCAAGCCATCAGCGACTACATCACGAAGAAGTTGAGCAACCAAGCTGTGGACGACAAGGCCGCTATTGATCGCATCGTCAAAGCGGCTACTGCGAGCGTAAAGCACCTGGTGGGAGCGGCCGCAGCCGGCGACCCTTCGTCCGACCTGCAGAACGTGAAGGTGCCGGTTCCGACGAGCGTGTGGAATCAGCTGCCCAAAGTGGCGCCGGTGAGGTTAAGCCCGGTGTCGTACCTCCTGGGTGAGGAGCCTCTCCCGGTGGACTTCTGGTTGAGTCTGGTCAACAAACCCAGGAACTGGATACCACCATTCCCACGTGAGTTGCTTTCTTAGTTCGACTCGTCGAAACTTAACCTCTTGTTTTATTCAGTGTACGGGCTGGTAGCTCAAGGTCAACACATCTTCACCTTCGACGGCAAACACTTGACTTTCCCAGGTCAATGCAACTACCTTTTGGCCCGGGACGCAGTGGATGGAAACTTTACCATCATAGGGTCTTATAGTAACGGCATCCTCAACGCCATCTCGCTCAGTCAAGGTTCCGATGTCATCACTCTGAAGAAACACGGACAAGTGTTGGTCAACAACGGTGAGTGAATCAATCTTCTGGGGTTTTTAATAGAGTTGGATTTTTAGCACCGGCTGAACTCCCGGCTCGTAAACCCAACATCGCCGCCTATCGCGACACGGAGAGGATCGTCCTGGTGTCCTCCTTCGGAGTGCGCGTGATCTGCGGACCGGAGCTCGTAGTGTGCTCGGTGACGGCGTCCGGGTTCTACCACGGCAAGCTGAGGGGGCTTCTGGGTAACGGCAACAACGAGCCCTACGACGATTTCGCGCTTCCGAATGGTAAAATCGTATCTTCGGAAAGCGAGTTTGGAAATAGCTACAAGACTACGGCTGGGTGTGGGGCTGTCCAGACGGTGTCGCACCACAGTCACCATTCGGTTCCCTCGTGTGATAAGCTCTTCGGATGGGAGAGTAGCTTCAGGTACTGCTATCCGTTCGTGAGTACCGACAACTTTAAAATGGCTTGTGAGCATGGAGTGGCCGCTGGAGTCAAAGACACGGAGCACGCCATCGCCGTAGCCTACGTGGCCGCTTGTAACCAGCATGGCATCCCCGTGCTAGTACCGTCGGAATATGGTGAGTCACAACTCTTTCTTGATTTTGAACAATCTCATTGTTTTTACCACAGTAAAGTGTACTAACGGAGACAAGCCCACCTCCCTCGGTGACCAATTCAGCGTGAAAACTCCCGCCAAAGCCGCCGACGTCGTCGTCTTGGTGGACACCAGCAAAGGCAACGAACCCACTTACAAAGAGTACGTCCAGCCGCTGATCCAGCAACTGACCAGCGAACTCACCACCAAAGGAATCAACGACTTGGAGTTCCACATCATCGCCTACGCCGGCGACAACCACTGGCCTTCCCACATCACCTCCAACGGCGGAAAACTCACCTTCAAAGGAAAAGCGCCGAACTTGAAGTTCGCCGAAAACCCAGAGGAAGAACCCTTGTTAACGGGAGACGCGCTGATCGACGGCCTCATTCACTTCATCGAAGGGCTTGGCGACGACCTTGATCTAGCCTTCGGCCTGGACCTGCAGGCGTTGACCTACACCGAAGGTCTGCAGTATCCCTTCAGAGCCAACGCGATCAAAACGATCATCGCCGTAACCGGAAGACCGTGCAAAGTTGGACGATTCTATCCAGTAAGTTCTTGTTTTTTGCCTCGATGATTTTAACTGGTGTTTCGTAGTTGCAGCTCTTGCGTACGTTGTTGTACAGAGGAAAAGACATCAATCTTAACCTGATTACTCCGATCAGTCGCTCCGGAGCTAAAGCCGAGGCCAAGAACATTGTCGGATTCAACGCCCGCAATGTCTACGCGTTGGGACAGACCAAGAACAAGATCAAGCACTTTGCGGATTTGGGCAAAGAACTCGCCTACGACGACTACTGTATCGACTTTACTGTCCAGAATGACGGTAACGTGTTCGTTTCGGATCACATCCAGCTTCAGCCTAAAGGTACGAGGAAACAGTTTGTCCAAGTGACTTCGCACGCCATCGTCGAACAGGTGTTGGGTGCCGAGAAGAGTTACGAGTGCGAGTGCAAATATGTGACGCCTTACACGGCTGCGAATGTCTGCAAAGTGGTTTCAGTTAAGGAGAAACCGCAGGCGGTAAGTTCGTGAAATTTTGAACTAATTAAAAAACTGATTTTTGGTTTGTTGCAGAGGAAAGTTGGCACCAAGAGCTAGACGATGCGAATGAGAGAGATCGCATACTTTTTTTTCTACATTACGGTATTTATAATTTGTATAAATATGTAATTATGTAATAAATACAACAACAACAATGCCGATTTTATTTCTCCCGAACCTGAAATATGTGCTCGAAATTCTAAAAATGCCGAGATCCAATGTAATGTACTTTATATGTATTTTTCCTATGCATTAATTGTCAATTATATCAAGTACAATTGTCTTTCTCTTGTTTATTTATAGTGTAGAAAACGGGAAAGAACGTCACATGACTAATTATGTGTGTTAAGGTATCATCAACAGTAGTAGTACAAAGTGTAGATTTAATTATCCCTAGCCAGGCATACGATCAGGGTTAATTGTGCTGACGAATTACCAACCGGTTTGTTCGTTATTCGATTCTAAAGAAACAAATATCTTTCTCATTGTGAAATTTTTCAATTTAATTTTGCGTTCTTCAATTTTAGAATTTTCAGTTTCTGGAACGGAAAAATTGATATATCGAAAAATATTTAGAAAGTTCGAAAAAAGAAAAAATAGGAAAATTTCAAATTCTTAATTTTTGATGTTTCAAAGTCTTCGATTTCTCGATTTTTCGATTTTTCGAATTTCATTTCGGTTTTTCATTATTAAAATTTTTCGACATTTCAATTTCGAATTATTTAATTTTAGGTTCCTCAATTTCTCGATTTCTCGTTTTTTGATATTTAAGATTATTAAATTTTTCATTTTTTGGCTTTTCAATTTTTAAATTTTCGGATTTTTCAATTTTTCGATGTCTAGGTTTTCAAATTTTCCGACAATTCTGTTTCGAGATTTTTAATTTATCTATTTTTCATTTTTTCGATTCATCAATTTCTCAGTTTTTCAATTTCGATTTTTTATTTTTCGATTCATCAGGTTTTCAGTTTTTCGATTTTTGATTTTTAAATTTTTTAATAATTCAGGAAAATCTTGAAAATCCAGAAAATCTGGAAAATCCAGAAAATATGAAGTCTGGAAAATTCAGAAAATTTGAAAAATTTGGAAGGTCTGAAAAATATGAAAAATCAGAAGATCCAGAAAATCTAGAAAATCTGGAAAATCTTGAAAATCCATAAAATCTGACAAATCTGGAAAATCCAGAAAATCCAGAAAATCTGAAAAATCCACAAAATCTAGAAAATTCAGAAAATCCAGAAGTCCACAAAAATTCAGAAGTCAGAAAATTCAGAAAATCCAAAAAAAACAGAAAAACTGAAAAATCTGTATAATCCAGAAAATCTGGAAAATTCAGAAGATCCAGGAAATCCAGAAAATCTAGAAAATCTGGAAAATCTTGAAAATCCATAAAATCTGGCAAATCTGGAAAATCCAGAAAATCCAGAAAATCTGAAAAATCTGGAAAATCTTGAAAATCCAGAAATCATGAAAAATCTGGAAAATCTTGAAAATCCAGAAAATCTGACAAATCGGGAAAATCCAGAAAATGAAAAATTCGGAAGATCCAAAAAATCCAGAAAACTGGAAAATTTGAAAGATTCAGAAGACCCAGAGATTCTAGAAAATCCAGGAAATTTGAAAAAAACTGAAAAATCCAGAAAAACTGGCAAATCTGGAAAATCTAGAAGATCTTGAAAATCCAGAAAATCTGGAAAATTTTGAAAATCCAGAAAAAATGGAGAATCTGGTAAATCTTGAAAATCCAGAAAATCTGGAAAATCCACAAAATCTAGAAAATTCAGAAAATCCAGAAGTCCACAAAAATTCAGAAGTCAGAAAATTCAGAAAATCCAAAAAAAACAGAAAAACTGAAAAATCTGTATAATCCAGAAAATCTGGAAAATTCAGAAGATCCAGGAAATCCAGAAAATTCAGAAAATCCAGAAATTCACAAAAATTCAGAAAAGTCGGAAAATTCAGAAAATCCAGAAAATCCGGAAAATCCAAAAATCTGAAAAATCTGGAAAATCCCAGAAAATCTGAAAAGTCTGGATAATCTCAAAATCCGAAAAATCTAGAAAATCTGGAAAAAAAAAGTTTTCGATTTTACGATTTTTTTGATGTTTCTATTTTTCAATTTTTTGATTTCTCGAGGTGTCGATGTTTTGGTTTATCCATTTTTTTTTAATTTTTTGTTTTTAATTTTTCAGTTTTTAATTTTTCGTTTGGGTTCTTTGGATTTCTTAGGTTCTAGACTTTTTCATGTTTAGATTTCACGGTGTTGCCATTTTCTATTATTCGTTTTTTTGATTTCTCCGTTCGATTTTTCGGCTTTTCAGTTTTTAAATTTTTGGATTCTCCAATTTTCCGATGGTTAGATTTTCAGTTTTCAGATTTTTCTATTTTTTCCATTTTTCAATTTCTCAGTTTTTCAATTTCAATGTTATAAATAATGCATTTTTCATTTTTTAAATTTTAAAACATTTCGGTTTTTCGAATTCGGGATTTCTCAATTTATCAATTTTTTGATTTTTGAAATACATATTAGATTTTTCAATTTTAAATTTTACATTTTTTTTTATATTCAGGTTTTTCAATTCTTCAGTTTTCCGATGTTTCAATTTTTCGGTATCTTAAATTTTAGATGTTTCGATTTCCCGATTTCTCAGTTTTTAAATTTTTCGTATAGATTTCTTTCTTTTCATGTTCCGATTTTTTTTTTGTTTGTTCAGTTTCCATTTTTTCAATTTTTCGTTTTAGATTTTTTAATTTTTCGTTTTTTCAATTTTAGATCTTTCAGTTTCTCAATTTTTCAACTTCTCGTTTCTTCAGTTTTTGATTTACAATTTTTTTAGTTTTCATTTTAAATATGTAGTAATAATAAAAATAAAATTGAAGAAATCGAAAAATCAGATAATTGCAAAATCCAAAAATTGCGAAATTGAAAAATTACAAATCGGAAAATGAAGGAATTAATTAGACTGAAAATTTGAAAAATTGAATAACGAAATATTTTATGTGTACATATTATAAAATCGAAAGAAACATTAAAAAATAAAGGAAATGAAAAAACGAAAAATTGTGAACAAAATCCAGAAAATGAAAATTAAAAAATCAGGAAAATGAAAAATAAAAATCAAGAACTTGAAAAATTTATTATCACTTTACAATATGCTCGAAACTCTAAAAGTCCCGAGCCCCAGAAAAAATCCCGCCCCATCGTTTTTTCCACCACAACAATAAATCAAACAACCACTTTTCACATAAGCACCCTTTTTTTTGACAATCCTTCAACTTCGTTTACGATATTCCCACAACCATGTGACGTCTCGCCCTAAAATTTCCAACACTTTTCACATGTTTCTATAAATCTGAAATCGTCCACCGCCCAAAAACAGATTCTTAATTTATGAAAGGGTGTCATAATCCTCCATGAAAATAACATTAAACACATGTCACAACTCGGCTCTTCGTCACCCTTTTTTGTAAGAACCAACTCATGTGTGCCTGAAGAAAAAAAATTAGAGCGTCTGCTTGCTGTTATTGTGTTTATTACATAATTGCACGTTTATTCGAAATTCGGTTGGCGTCATTTAACACTCGAATTTTTTAAACAAACAGGTTTCGAGGAAAGTGAAATTTCCACTAGTCGGCAATATCTTGTCCAAAAAGCGAGAAATTGCCCCTGAGCCTTTTACAGACAAACCCTGCCACTACAACCATAAAAAAAAAACTCTGAAACGCATATGTGACAAATAAAACATTCTTAAATGGGTAAAAATCATCATCTCGCTACGGCATAAAACCATGACGACACGTCTCATTTGTCTTTACTGTGATCCCTCCATCTCTTTTTTGCTCGTTAGGGTTCGACTGGCGCTGTTTCTGTCACGAGAATAACGACAAGTGCATGCTGTGTTGGAATATCGGATTACAGAGCGAACAAAAAAGCAGCGGCCACGTGCATTCGACCAATGGGGAAGCAGGAGCACAAAAACAGTCGAAATGTCATTAACACGCCTGGATGTTATTATGATATAAATACGTACCTCAGCTTCGGTTTTTTGTTCAGTGAAATGAACGCATTTAATTATATTTACGTTTGTTGTTTCAAGGCTGAAACGAGCCGAAAATTTGCGGGAGGATGGAAGTTGGTTTGAAAGTGTCGAAAGTGAAATTTTCCTGGCCCTGGAGGTACGGTCAAGGAAATCTAGTTCTTGAACTAGTAAAATTAATAAGTAAAGAAGACAAAGAATAACAACTTTGTGATTTTAATATGCGTAAATAATGACGGCATGAAATAAAGTATTTATATTTTGTTATTTATAAAAAATATAAAAAAATATAACAATAAAAGATGAGACAAAAATAAAACGGTGACAAAATAAAAACAATTTTCCGTTTATTCAATTTTTCAAATTTTGTCTTTGATTTTGCAATTGTTGCAATTTATCCGATTTTTCGATTTCTTTAATTTTCAATATTTCTATTTTACGCTATTTTGTTCTTTCGATTTTGCACTTTTCCGATTTTAAGTTTCTCAATTTTGAATCTTTTTTTTCCCAATGTTTCTTTTTTTCAATTTTCCAAGTTCTTGATTTCCAATTTACATATTTTTAAAAATTTTCATTTTATACAATTTCGCTTCTTACAATTTTACAATTTTTTTAATCGAAAAGTTGAAAAATCGAAGACTATAGAATTGTCAAAATTGTAAAGTCGAAAATCTATAACAATGTAAGATCGAAAAATTGAACAATTAAATTTTAAAATCCGATAATTGAAAAATGGAAAAATTCTAAAATCGTAAAATTTCAAAACTTTTAACAATCTTTAAAATTAAAATTACAAATCAAAAATTGAAGGAACAGAAAATTGAAAATAGAGAATCTGAAAAATCTAAAATTGAAAAATGGAAATATATATCCAAAAATTGAAAAATTTCACGATGAAGCAAGGAAAAAAACATAAAATCAGACCATTGAAAAACCGAAAAATTTTTAAAATACAGACAGTAAAATATTGTTAAACTGCAATCGAAAAACAAGCAAAATTGAAACATCCAAAAGTTGGAAAATCGAAAAACTGAAAAATTTAAAACTGAAACTCAAAGAGATGCATGATGTAAAATTGAACAAACGAAAAACTGAAAAAATGATAAGAAAGAAATCGA